CGCCTCCCGGCGGTTGCCCTATATGGTAACGGCAACTGCCTTCGCGCTGCGTTTGCTAAGCAATATCGCAAGCGCGCAGAGCGCGCGCGCCGGCTTCGTGGGCCGGCGCGCGCTCTGCGCGCGCGCGCGCACGCATTTGGTTACCAGATCATCATGGGAATTGGACCACATAAAACTTGTAATGCAGAAAACCTACGGGAAATATATAAACACCTACGAAACGAGGCTCCTATGCATATCCGGCATGACAGAGCTTGTCTGTCTTGCTCGGCCTGCATAGACTATGTGTGTAACTGTAACACTTTTTTCTTGCGATAAGAACCGGTCGTTGGCGCCGGGCTTGGACTTGGACTGGGGCTTGGACTGACCACCGGCGTACTAGTACTCGATATACCGAATTAAGCGCCCCAGTTCGAAATAACGGATTTAAGCAGCCAGGGTTATGCTCATGCGTGCTAAAAACTCGGCGAATTTTTGAACTTTTTTTTTTTTCGTTCAGGCACCAGGATAGGCAGCGGGAGCCTTGTTGGTTTTATATAACACAGGCCAGGGGTCGGAGACGGGGTCTGCGCATTAGTTTAGGCGCTGAAAAGGCGACGCGACGGGGGAAGCTCTAGCTTGGCAGGCTTCCCGCGCCATGTGCTCCCGTATACCGCAATCGCGCCCGAAGGGTGCCCACAACGTCGGTCCTTTCGAGAACAGAAAAAACACCACTTCCCCTGAAAACGAAAAAACGAAGGAGGGCCACGACCGGCCGCCCAGGATGCATAGGCCGGGCGAGGAGCCCGCCGCGGGGCGCAAAGCACGGGGGCGGGATCTCGCGGGGCGAAGATCTGCGTCCCGCGCGCTCCGGCCGTTTTATTTTTGCAAACACGGCGGGGGGGCGAACATGCAAGATTTGGCAGGAGGCCGCCCCAAATCCCCAAACCCTGCGGGGCTGCCGGGGGGTGGCGGATAAAAACGCGCCTCCCTCCTCTCAGTCCAAACCCCAAACCCGAAACCCCAAACCCTGCGCCCCGAAAAAAAAAACCGCCAGGGGCCCCGCGCCGCGACCGCGGCCCCACCCCGCGCCCCGTGGAAGCTTTTGGGCCCGTGGGCTGCCACGGGGTAAACTGCCGGTGGACGCGCGTCCATCGGAAGTTTTTCGGCCGCCGGAAAGTTTCGACGCCCAATTTCTTTCAGGGCGGCTTTCGGCTCGGCCGATAAACTTCCGATGGACGCGCGTCCACCGGCATTTTTTGCCGCGACCGGGTAACAGCAGAAAAACTTCTGCCGCCCGGGCACCCGGGAAACGCACCCGACCGGTCGCCAGGGCCTAACGCGCATCCCTTCGTCCGGCGCTAAACTCCATCGCCGCCCGCGCACCGTGTGCTGGGCCGACTCGGCTCGGGGTCGCGGCGACTCTGGTGCCCCCAACCGCCGGCAAAGCTGCAAAATCAGCCTACCGGGAGACCGGGGGCAGGCAGGCCTACCCCCCTCGGGGGCAGGCATGGCAGCGCCACCGTGCACTTGCTCCCAAAAACTCCGGGGGTCCGACGTAGTCTGTGCCGAACACTACGAGGGCCCACCTATACGCCCTGGTAGAGTGCGAGTTTTCCTATACGACGAAAAAAAAAAACTAGACGCGTCTTTATCTTTATACACTTACTTCGTGTTCGTTCTTGCCGCAGCTGCATCCATACAAATACAAAACGGTAAACAAAAAGCATGCTTTTGCATCGGGTGAGGAGTAGTCGCGCCCCGCCCCCTTCTTGAAAGCCGAAACCAGTTGGACTGGGGCTTGGACTGACCACCGGCGTACTGGACGGAGTGGGTGCTGCATTCGGAATGACCGCCGCACACTGTTCCTCGCTGAGCAAGTCCGCCCATAGGTCTTCCGAGACGCAGTACACGTCCCGCTTCTTCTCCGAGTTTTTGTACACGCTACTCGGATATCAAGTACAAAAATGTCTGGGTCTGGAAGAATGCACGTTTGTCATGCTTGTCTGGCATGACTCGAGAATCTGTGTTGCATAGGCACGAAAAGGCCCTCTTACCTGTCATGCAAAAACGCAGTTTGTCATGCGGAATACGTAGGACATGGGAGCCAAAAAAATTGTCATGCGTAGCTGCGTATTGCAGTCCGTCTACCATTTACTTTTAGCATCACAAGTTTCCAGACCCAGAGATTTTTGCATTTGATATCGGAATTTCGTAGGGGTTCCACACGTAGCCATCCCCGCACGCGCTGTCTAGACAAGGCGTCTCGCTCAGTAAGCAGTCCGCCGTAACCGACTTGCGGTTACCCTCCGCGAGAATGACGATCGAGCACACAATATGGATTGTAAAAATGTCTGGGTCTGGAAGGTTGAAACCTGTAATGCTAACTTTCCACACCTAGAAAATCTGTATTGCGTAACCAACAAAAGTCGCAGCCTCTTTTGTCATGCAAAAACGCAGCTTCTCATGCGGATTGCCTATGAGAGAGCGTTTTGGGAAGTTGTCATGCCGGACTGCATTCGGAAGTGTTTTCATCATGCACGTTTTAGCATCACAAGTTTCCAGACCCAGACATTTTTACATTTGATACACAACGGTGGTGAGCAAAAAGACGTAAAACAACGCCGCGCAAAAAATTTCGCCGGCCGTCATCGATTGCCGATAAGGTGCGAGCACCAGCTTGCAAGCAGTGTCGGTGGGGGAAGAAGCACTTGGCCGCCAGAATTTGTCATCCTTCGTTGATTCCGCACTTGGCCTCTTAGCCGGCTTGCTGGCGACCAAATCGCTAATGGGTTCTTGGCCACCAACGTAGGCCTGCATCTCGTAGCTGCTCTTCTTGTCCTGCATACTGAGATTTTCTACTTGTAATTCTACTTTTGAAATTGATTTATGTACAGACTTCTTGTTCAAGACGCGATTGCAGTAATGTCGCCTGTAGTTTGTTCGATTGTATTATTTTGATTTTCGATGAGGAAAGTTGTGTCACAATAAATGCAGCAAATGTCGCGAATGGGAATCGCGCAGCTCTGCTGAAGATGGTCAACTATTTTTAAATGGGAGGAAATAAATAGAAGTAGTCCTGTGTCGACATGATCGTGTGAGAAGAGGTGTTGGCAAGAAAGAAAACGATGCGGGAGCTTGCTTCTTTCTTTAGAAAAGAAAGAAAGCTTGCTTCTGTATCGGCTATATCTATTATCCTGTGGTCTCCCGTGGGCACTTACACGTACAGCACTCCGTCGGGGGCTGCAAAAATATTCTTGTACGAGAAAGGCGAAGTATATCACCGAGAATTTGTTCTTTTCATCTTGCGGCGAAAACTAACCGAGGGTATTAAAACACCATGCTCAGGTGGTGGGCAAAACCGATCTTCGTGCACGCGGCACTTACCAAGTGGTCGTCTTGCAGCTCCTTTCGCGACCGACTTAATATCACAACCACCACAAAAGGCTATTGTACTATGGACGGCCACACAAGAACTTCTGAGTGGTCATTACCGACGACGTGAGAAACTCTTCAGAAATTATTCGTTGTGATGTACCGATTGGATAAGCTTTCATAGTACTGCTCCACGATGATACGTTTTCCTTAATCATCCGCTTCACCTCGCGTTACACGACTAAATACCAATGATTTTTGCAACTGTGCGTGAAGGCCGCAAAGGCTGACTTCAAGCTTTTCGAGTCTTCACGCACAAATATAGCAGCAAATGCATTATGCCATGCGAACTGGGTTTGAAAAATGATTCATCGAAGCGCAAAGTGTGTAATGCGTTGTGTACTTTCTTATCCGCTTCACTGTCATGCCGCTGCCAGTACCTGGCGCTACACATCCTTCCTGACTTATCTTTCGTAAAAGTAGCAACTCGAATGTTGTGCGTGCCGAACTTCTTCAAAACACAGATGAAACACCGAGAATAAAACTCAAAAACTCAACCGAAACTAAGGAGCCACCGCACAACGAGGACGTAAGTAGCTGTAGGAGCTGCTCAGAAACCGACCGAGTAGAAAACTACTACAGAAGTGGCGAAATAACTAATCCGGAATTTTCATTCTCAAATCGCCGACGACCACGATCGTAGCAACACCGTAAAAGAAAGACAAAGAGGCATGCCTAAATATCGAGCAAGAAGAAGAGAGAACAAGATCCACTACAGCTGCTATAGCGACATGAAGCAAAAGATGCGCTGCAGAGAGCGCAGTAGCTGCGATATGAATTTATTCATCGGGATCCTGTTTTATTGTTCTCTTCCACCAGGGTTGAAAATCAAAATTTGTGCTGTTCGTCCAAAACAAGTTCTTTACTGCTGGGTAAAAACTTATTATACGTGATTTTGAATTAAACTTGCTTTTGTGCGGGATGCGCACCACGAAAATTTTTGATCGCAGAATCTTATGAGCATGCATCGAGTGATGTCGTCTTGGGTAGTTGTCGAGATGAAGTCCTCGTAGCTAACAGTTCAGAGCGCAAATAGTGAAAGCAGTAGTCTCCATCTCCTAGAAAATATCGTACTTACTTGCATGACTCAGATACGTAGCGGAGCGAAAAACTATGCACCATGTGCAAAACATGGATGTTGTGTGATTAAATCTTATTCGGACCGTGTATGTGAGGACAAAAAAACATGCGGTATATATAATCATCCCAGATATCCTTTTACAGCTGCAGGTGTTCCCGTTCTATAAAATTCCCATTGTAGTTAATTACCCGACACCCTTAATGAAACTTGTAAGACAAAATCGAAAACTACTGACTTCTTGGTGTTCATCCAGCATGACAGATTCCAGTACAGCACTCCCTTCTACTACAGCTGCTGCAGTTCGTGAAAGTGCTTGACCTTCATGCTGGTAATCCCGCTGTTCGCACTCTGGATGCCCATGTGCCCCCGGTAATCGTTCTGCTGGTTGGTCACAAACGGCCGCCGCGCCGGCTGGTCAAAAGCCAGGGAGTATGAAATGCAAAAGTGTCTGGGTCTGGAATGTTGCCGGGTTTGTCATGCTGATCTGGCATGGCCCTTAAATCTGTATTGCGTGGCCACAAACAGCCTCTCTAGCCTGTCATGCAAAAACGCAGTTTCTCATGCGGAATACGCAGCACAGAAGCACGAAGCAACTTGTCATGCTTGGCGGCGCATTGCAGTGCGTTTGTTATTGTTATTGACTGGCTTGCATCACAAGTTTCCAGACCCGGACATTTTTGCAATCCATAGGGAGGAATCGGAACGCTTTTGGATCTTCGGGTCTTCCTGCTTCAGCTTGGAACGCGGGGCGTTGGGGCGGTAGACAGAGAGTGGCTTCTTCGCCGTGGCCGCGCCCGCGGATGTCTTCGTCACATTCGCGACGGAGTAGACCTGCGAAGTTGTATATGGAGGCGTTATTTTTGTTGGGCGTTGTGCAATACAAACTTAAAAACAAAAAGTAGATTCACAATCACATGTACTACTGCTGTAAATTAATAAGATGGATCACGCTAACACGCATAAAAGTTCTGGCAGTCTAGTAAGAATTCACGCTGCTGAGACCGCGTTTAAAGGAGTGCAAGAAAAAATTTTGTCATGCGAAAGTTCAATCCAGTAGATACCTGATTGTGCGTGGTCCGGTCGTCAAATTTGGCTTTTGGCGGTTGCCACTTCGGACACGGGAACGGCACCGCAAGCAGCTGCGCCTGCCCCACCTGCACAATTTTGCGGCAGGTGTACACCTTTTCCTGGTCAAACACCACCGGCTCCATGATGTCGCGCTTCTTCGGCGCCGGAGTGGTTTTGGCTTTGGGAGCTGCCGCCGTCATCGTGGTGTAGTTGCGCTCCTTGGGGGGCAGTTGTGAGTCTCAAAGCTTTTTAGCAACCAATGTTCTTATTCCAGTCTTTTTGGGAGGATAGAGCTCGTGCCGTGAAAAATGATGGTAGAATTGCGCGCGTGTATTTAATGACGTTTTTGAGCAAGTACTTTGAAACTGAGCGGGTGCAAGGAAGAAGAACCGAACAAATTTTATTGACCTGTCTCGACGTGGATCAACAGCTGCATACTGCGTACAACAAGAAACAAGCTTCTTTTTAGTTATAACAAAGCTGCAACGTTGTACGTAGCATGGAAAAACGAAGACGCAATAGCAAGCTTTCGGCGAACGGCGAATGGGATAATAATAATTCTGAACGACTTTACAGTTCTGGACGAATTCGGATTCCAAGGCGGCAACTGAACGAAGATGTTGTGTGTAGTGTACAACGATGGACGAAGGGGAAGGAGACATCAGACACGCAATTTATATATACGACGACCTATTTAACAGCAGCTGATACGGCGGGTAATCAGTTCCTCTCATCGGAGGTGCCATGAACCGGGCGATCATACTTTTGTTTGATCTCTTCCGGCTCAGTTGATCGAATTGGAACAGGAACGTCACAATAGAAGTATACACACATTATTGAGTACTAGACAGAGCTGCAATCGTCTACCTTGCTGGCTGACGATGAAGATGAATTAGAGCGTATTTCTATATCAATAGAATCGTGCATTGCGGCTAACCTTTCTCTTCCTCGTTCAACGGCAGCGGCTTCTGCGTCTCATCATCCGATCCGGTTATTTCTCGTTCCCCTTTCCCCCCGCCGTCTATGTGTATTCCTTTGCTTTTTCTCTGTTTCTCCTCAGTTACTCCAGGAGTGCCAACATCCGTTCTTATCGCAGTCTTTGAGGCTTTCACATCCACAACAACAGCTGACTTCGTCACGGTCTTAGCATTTCCGCCAGCACTGCCCCCGTCGGAAGTAGTACCCTCAACCGGCTTTGCATTTTTGTTGCTCCCTAATAGAACGGTTACAAGCAGCACAATCACCGCAATGGCAGAGATTCCGCCGAGAATGACCGCCGCGTACCAAAAAATGACCAACCCTTCATAGTTCTCTTCGTAAATACCGCCACCAATCACGCAGTTTACCATTCCGACTATCAAAACAGACAAACCCACGTATCGGTGGAAGTTCAGCCAGACATTGTGTCCGGGCTCAGGCTTGGTTCGAAAAATCCACATAAGCAGCTGCGCCAAAGCGGTTGTTACGATCAAAACCCCGGTCCAGCCGTGGAGCTGTTTTATCGAAGACGATTCGCTAGAGATCTTCCACTCGTTTTTCGACAAGACGAGGAACATCCCGATCAGCGTGAAAACGATCAGCGCGCTTTGTCCAATCTTTATGGATGTGTCAGAGTTGAAATCGACAAAGTTGAAATAATTTGTCATGCATAAAAGGGACGCCAGTTGGAACCCAGTTTCTAAGTGGTGCATGACAAATTTTGGTGGTCCCTAAATCCAGTTTGTCATGCTGTTTAGGCAAAGAAGAGTGATTTTCTCATGCTACTTTAGCAGCTCGAGCTGTAGCCCCCAACAGGCTTACAATTGGCCTCACTTGCCTGCTCTGCAACACACGTGCCTCGGGTCATGCATTTTATGCATTACAAATTATTTCAACTTTGACGATTTCAAACCTGACGCTTCCATAATTTTTTAAATACGATTGTGACGTTTTTAAATACGATACCGACCCTTCGTAGTTCTGTTCGTAAATACCGCCACCAATCTATCAAATGTAAAAATGTCTGGGTCTGGAAGATTGCAACTTGTCATGCTGTTTTTGGACTCTAAAAAAAATTGTATTGCATGACCAGCAAAATGGGTACGCTTTTTGCCACTTTTTGCTACACAGACAGGCCATTTCTCATGCGGAAGGTGCATCAGGGAGCCCTCTAAAAATCTGCGATGCTAGTTCAAGCATTACAGGCATCAGAAATATGCATTACGGTCATGAGAAATATGCATGACAAGTCTTGCATTCTTCCAGACCCAGACATTTTTGCATTTCATACAATCACGCAGTTTACCATTCCGACTACCAAAACGGACAAACCCACGTACCGATGGAAGTTCAGCCACACATTCTGTCCGGGTTGTTCAGGCTTGGTTCGAAAAATCCACATAAGCAGCTGCGCCAAAGCGGTTGTTACGATCAAAACCCCGGTCCAGCCGTGGAGCTGTTTTATCGAAGACGATTCGCTAGAGATCTTCCACTCGTTTTTCGACAAGACGAGGAACATCCCGATCAGCGTGAAAACGATCAGCGCGCTTTGTCCAATCTTTATGGATGTGTCAGAGTTGAAATCGACAAAGTTGAAATAATTTGTCATGCATAAAAGGGACGCCAGTTGGAACCCAGTTTCTAAGTGGTGCATGACAAATTTTGGTGGTCCCTAAATCCAGTTTGTCATGCTGTTTAGGCAAAGAAGAGTGATTTTCTCATGCTACTTTAGCAGCTCGAGCTGTAGCCCCCAACAGGCTTACAATTGGCCTCACTTGCCTGCTCTGCAACACACGTGCCTCGGGTCATGCATTTTATGCATTACAAATTATTTCAACTTTGACGATTTCAAACCTGACGCTTCCATAATCTTGTGCGCCAGCATGTAGGTGGTGTTCGGCGCTTCCAAAGTCGCCGATTGTTATCAAATGCAAAAATGTCTGGGTCTGGAAACTTGTGATGCAAGTCCGTGAACAATAAGTGCTCTGTAATGCGCCGCCAAGCATGACAAGTTTTTTCGTGCTTCTGTGATGCGTATCTCGCATGAGAAACTGCGCTTTTGCATGACAGGCAAGAGGACCTCTTGGTGGCCGCGCAATACAGAGTGCAGAGCCATGCCAGACTAGCATGACAATCTTCCAGACCCACACATTTTTGCATTTGATAATTGTCCGTTCTTGTTAATACCCATCCGCCGGAGTAAGGCGAGAATCACCATGGTTGGCGCGATCAACACCCAAGCAACCGACATCAACACCGCGTGCACTAAACGGACCCTTTCGTGCCCCTTATGACCTGCTCAAACGTTACGACCTCTAACGTTACAATACATAGAAGCTGGGATTTGTCTTGCATAATGAGCATGACAGACTCGCAACCCGCAGCACTTTCTGCAATACGAATTTTGGCAGATTGTCGTGCGGTTTGGGATTCCGGAACTTGTCATGCGCAGTCCTATGAAACTTGGCCGCTAGATCATGCACTTCTTGCATCACAGATTTCTAGATTCTATTGCAACGCTTGAGATTGTAACCTTTGAGCAGGTCTTCATACCCCTGAACGAGCTCTTCTAACGCTTCTTCCTCCGCTAGAGAGTCCTCCAATTTTCGGCCAAAACCAGGCAGCCCTCCGAGGGCGTTGGTCATTATCGTTAAGTTGTTCGCGAGGGTCTCGTTTATTGTCAGATTTTTCAGACTCATCTGGAGTGCCAAAAATTTCTCCTTCGCTTCCGCAAACGTCTTGGGCCCGCCGTCCGTTATCGGGAGAAGTTGCCCACACACGAAAGCTTTACTCGCGTCACCAGGATGGGACGGTGTCCCGTCGCCGCCTAGTTCCGTGCAGGGCGGGTCGGGATCCCCCTGTTTCCAGGAGCAGTCCCAATCCCCGAGTTCATCGCCGTTGGTGATGCCATCGTTATCGCTGTCTTTCCTGCACAACTCTTCGCTCCAGCTTCTGTCTCCGCCCCCTTGCATGTCGAAGTCGATTCCGAAAGCGTTCCGCTCCGGCGCACCGGTGGAAGATACGTGGCCGAGAAACGCAAACTGCTTGACGTTATCAAATGCAAAAATGTCTGGGTCTGGAAGATTGTGAGACTTGTCATGCAGGTTTTCCATGAGCTATATCGTCTGGAATGCAGGACCTAGCATGACAGATTCTGTGAGATCCCTATCATGCCTATCCTGCATGAGAAACTTCCTCTCAACTTGGTCAAAGTGGACAACTTTTGGCATTCATGCAACACAGATTTTTGCACGATCCAGAATTAGCATTACTTACAAGTTCCATCCTTCCAGACCCAGACATTTTTGCAGTGCATAGACGTGCGGCACTTTTCCTTCGGCCTTGAAGCTAGGGAAGGCGCGGACCACAGGGTAGTTGCTGGGGAGGAACACCAGGAGAGGGATCATTTTCGCAAGGAGGACTTGGACTTCTACTACCCAGGTCCTCGCGGAAATAAAGCCCCAGCTGAACTGAAAGGACGTTCTATTCAAACGACCACCCATGAGGCAGTTGTACTTGAGGAACCATGAACTCGATGACTATGATTTCGAATCTTCACACAAATGCATTAATATTGATTCTTCCACCTCTCACAGCGCAAGCGGTTCTACATCGTGTAAGATGGACATGGAACTGGGCAAGAAGGCTCATCGTAATAAAGCAGGGTCCGGTTTTTATACAACTTGTCAAGTAGACCAGTAGATAAGTTTTGACAGTTCTTGCACCAAGTACTACAGCTGCCGAGGGTTTTCACAACGTCAAGGTGAAAAAGAACCAGGTACAGCAATCCTGTGAAGTATTTTTGTACAGACAGGAGAGTTAAAATGTTTGTATAGTAAGCTACGCCAAGTTGTTTCAACGCCGAGCAGGCTCACGACGACCACGATGGGAAAAAGAGTTTGAGGACCAGATAAAAATTCTGTGAAAAATCAATCTGCCAATCTGCTGACGCACGATAACGACAGTCAATACATACGAATCCGGAGGACGAGTAAAGGACGGACAACAACGAAACTCACAAGAACGACAGTACGGAAAGTTGACCCCCCGGGTAGTTTTACCCTGGGGGTACTAGAAGTACTCTAGCAAAGTACTCCTGTTATTTTACCAACGACCTTTGGACTTGTGTCTTCAGCGGTCTCAGAGAACAGAGTGCCCTTGCACATGCAAATCCAAACTCGGATGGATTCACGAGGAGCCCTCCAGGCCGCTGGGCAGCTTTTCGTCTTTATTGAAAATACATTTGCAGCAAAATTCTACAGGCAAATTGCATTTAGAGCTTGCTCGCACAAGAGCAAGAGATCCGAATTCATACAAGTGAGAAAAGTTCAAAAGTTCTTGCACTAGAAGTTTTTCAACAAACTAACGGACATTTTTCGGAGATAGAATATCGGCATGATTTTGCCTTGTTTCTTGCATTTTTGACAAAAAATTGTAAAGCGGAGTACTTCTAATCGGAGCCCCTGCGACGCTTCAAAGCGACACCAGAATAGGCTACTCGGCGATGAAACATTGTTGACATTTTCGGAAAAACTACACTGGATTTACGCATAATTCGGAGATTTTTTTCTCTGTGTAATGCAGCACGACTTCGCCCCGGGCCGTGCCGCAATACAGAATCAGATGAAATCCCTTATCTTATTGTTGACATTTTCGGAAATTTGAGTGAGATGTTGACAGTGACCTTTTAGTTTTAGAATCGGAATCGGTTGACATTTTTAGACATTTACTACATTTTGTGGAAAAAGCTCTGAGTCGTACTTAAGTCGGGGAGACCACCTTCCAGCGCGACGGACTGCTGCAAGGAACTGTACATGAAGAAGTTTATTTTCGCAGTCTGTCTGCCACAGCAAGAAGGGTAGTAGAGAAAAGTTAAAGTACAATGCGTACGTATAGTGCACTGAGCCTGCTTGTTCACGTCCACGTGGTGAAGTAGTATACAAAAGCGGTCAGTTGGGAATGGCATGATCGCAAAGACGAATTCATATCCCTCCTCACTTCACCATCACGTGCCCGCGCGGTTCGTAGGAATACTCTAGCGCCCCCGACCGGATTTTGTCGCCGTAGTCGAAGAACCGCTTGTTTACGTGGGGGTAGACGAACTTGAAAAGCGAATACTTCTCGTCGAAGAACACCGGCCGTCCCGTGCGGTAGTGCAACCCCTTTCCCTTGAACTTCATGATGTTCGGATCGTAGCCGTACTGCTGGTATGCTTTGCAAAAGTATCGTACTCGTAGTATTGCAATACAAATTAGCTCAACATGACATATGGAACAATTTGTCATGCGGATTCAGTTTAACAACGTAGATTTGTAAGTATATGCATAACTGCAATCACTACGAGGACGAGCAGGATACTTTTTGCAATTCATAGCTGGTGTAACGGCACCTGGAGTTCGGTCCTCTCTTTCTGTAACTGCAACTCGATGGACTTCGTGCCCGCGCCAACCACCGTGTTGAAAGCGGATGATCCCGTCGTGTGCATCGACCTGTTGCCCTGCGTGTTGCTCGAGTTCGAGTTTTCGCCAATGGAGATGTCGCCTGTCTTGTGATATCCTGTGCAAAAGTATCGCAATCGTACTGATTGCAAATATGCATGACAAATCTTCTTCCTAAGGTAGAACAGCATGACAAATTGCATTTGTCATGCTGAACAAATTTGTAATGCAATTTGTACTAGGAGTGCAATGCTTTTGCATTGCATATGTTGAAGTCGTTTTGCGTGGTGTGCTTGGAGCCAGAGGTCGAGGAGGAGCCGCCGGGCTGGTTCTTCATACCTAAGGATCGTCGTGTGGTAGGTGGTGATGTAAATTCTGCATGACAAGAACATCCTGGATGTAAATTCTGCATGACAAGAACTTCCCGTATAGGAAATTCAGCATGACAAAGACCTGTATTTCAACAAAAGTCTAAATACCCTGTTTCCTCTGCGCCTCGGGTAAGTTCGGATCTTCATCGTTTGCACTCCCCGCCCCAGTGCCGGATTTGAAGCTCTGCATGGAGGTGCCATTATCCTGAGCAAAAACATCCCCACCCGAAAGCTGTCATGCAGATTTGCAACGACAGGAACATTTGTGATGCGCATCCCCAACATGATAAGCATTTTTTCCAGTCGTGTTTCGCATATTTGTGATGCCGTAACCAGGATAAGCAGATGGATTTGCATTTGTGATGCGGCTGTGCTCATTAACCTGCACTAGTAAGCTAAAGGCTTCATCAACTTGTCGTGCGTGATTACCAAAACCTATACGTTTGTGATGCAAAGTCCCCATCTTGACTCTTGGGTGGGGACGGTTTTACACAGGATAGCCGTGCGTTTTATCGGTGGAACTGTGGGTGAAGGACGACTGCGTCAACGTCATGGAATCTGTCGTGTCCGTCTTCTTCTTGCTGGACCCCCCGTCCCCTCCGCCGATCGCGGCGAGAGTCGTACTCGTTTGCATGTTGCTCGGATGCCCGGGGAGTTGGTCGACAAGGGCTTGTCTTCGCGTCGGCAGGGAGGGATCCTTGTAGGCTCTGGGCAGGAGTTATCCCAAGAAAAAAGTGTTCTTTCAGTTACACATTTGTATTGTAAATAACTTCAGCAACACAAACTTGCAATGCAGAAATGATCCTAAGGGAAATTATAAACACGTATGAAGAAACGAGGCTCGCAAGCCTTTCCGGCATGACAGAGGTTGCAGCCTGTCTTGCTAGTTTTCCAGCATCACAGTGTGCTGTAACTGTAACACTTTTTTCTATTCGTAGGAGTTGGGGTAGGTGTGTGGATTTCAACTGAAGATCCAACCCGCAGGCCTCGTCGCCCTCGACGTGGTACCTTTTTCAGTTTGTTTTAGTTTTTCTTCGTGGATTCCATGCATGACAAACGGATTTTTTTCCGGAAATCTTGCATGACAAACAGCAGAAAATCAAAAAACTTTTATGGGTAGAATACTTTAACTTCTGCAGCATGGTGCTCGACATCGCACCGTCCCTGACCTGCTGTTGCTGCAATTGCAGTAAGTGTTGCTGCCTTTTCTCCAGCACCTTCTGATGCTCCTCCCCACAGGCAAGCTGCCATCGTTGCCTTCGGTAGCGCTCCATTCGCTCGTCTTTTAGCAGTTCCACGTAATACACCCAGTTCGAAAAGTATGCAAAGAAAGAAGCGTTACAACAGCTACCCTTTGCGCTTGCAGCTACCCATTTTTCATGCACGAAATTATGCTGTCGAGCCTCGCATCATACGTGTTTGTAATTTCACTTATGATGATCTGTGCATTACAAGGAAGTTGTAAATTTGTGTTGCTGAAGTTTTTACATTATACACAATTTGCTGTAAACACTTATTTTTCCATGGGATATGAAGGACAGCCGGAGTTGCATACTCGCCACCCCCGACATTAGAGCGCGGAAAACACCTCTTTTTCTTCACTTTTACAGTTTGCCAGTCTTGCGCATGAGAAAGGAAAAGTCAGACGTCAGTTCTTACACTACTTTCAACATTCATCAGCGAGCTCGAGCTGGGTTTGGCTTTAGGGATGTTCTTGCATGACAAAACCGAAATCTCCAAGGCACTCATCTTCAAGGGAAAGAACAAAAAGATCAACATCAGTATTCATACCTAGCTTCCCGACTCTCTCCTTAAACTCCTTCTCCGCGGCTCGTGCTTTTCGCTATCCAAGAAAAAAACGTTGTTAGTGTAAGTTTGTGATGCGCAATATGCAAAGTGATTGCGTCTGTCATGCTTGGCATGCGTCGCAGGGTCCATTAAGGGCGTTTTCACGTACTATTTGCGCATGACAGGTTTTTGCTGTCATGCAGGACAAACTTGTAATGCTGTTCCTCCAAAAAAGTTACACCTACAATGTTTTTTTCTTGGATATTCGCTGCTTCGCGCGCAGTGCTCGGACATCAAAGTGAAAAAAACCCCCCACCCCATATCAAAATGGAAGTTTGTGATGCGGGATTTGTGTGCACAAATCATTTTGTCATGCTAGAAGGGAGAAGATGCGGGCTGTCGTGCTGGGTGGCGTGTTGAGGAAGCTATGCATCTTCAGCATGACAGGAGGCAGCTGGAAGCGGGAAACAGCATGGCAAATTGCGTGCCAACGAGGCCACAACGGCGTCTCTTGGCCTTCTAGCAATACAAGGCGATTTGTGTACGCAAACACAGCATCACAACTTTCGTTTTCGATATGGGGAGGGGGGATTTTTCCTTTCAATATCGGAGCTTCCTCGCTTTCTCGGCTTCGTCCGCGAGGCGGCGCTGGAGGCGCTCCTGCTATGCGTTGCAAATATGTCTGGGTCTGAAATCTTGTGATGCAAATCTAGGAATTGTGGGCGCACTGCAATATGCAGCCCAGCATGACGAGTTTTTGCGCTGCTGTGTTTCGTTTTTCGCATGACAAGCTGCGTCTTTGCACGAGGCCCTTTTCCTGCTCATGCATCACAGATTTAAGACTCATGCCAGACAAGCATGACAAACTTCCAGACCCAGACATTATTACATTTGATACCTGCTCCTTCTTTGCCATTTTCTCGGCCTGCTCCTCTTCGTTCATGACCTTCCGGTATGGATTGTAAAAATGTCTGGGTCTGGAAACTTGTGATGCAAGCAAGAGAATAGTGAGCTCACTGTAATGCGCTGCCAAGCATGACAAGTTTTTTTCATGGTTCTGAGTTGCGTATTCCGCATGAGAAACTGCGTTTTTGCAACACAGGGAGGAGGAGCTCTTTGCGGCCACGCCGTACAGAGTTCAGAGTCATGCCCGATTAGCATGACAAGTCTCGCAATCTTCCAGACCCAGACATTTTTGCACTTCATATCCGGCCCTTCCACTTCCCCGCCCCGGCGCTGGTCTTCACCATTTTGGGCGAGGTTTCTTAAAAGGACTTTTAGCTTAAAATGTACCAACTGGTGTTGGTTCCTGGCGGTCGTGAGAGACTAATTGCAGTACTACGCAGCTTTCAAAACTCGCAACTTACATGAAGATTATAAGTACACTTGTGGGGTCGAGCAAGATGACATAGCACCAGCACGGCAACAAGTTCTTACACATCAACAAGATTTGTTCTGTGACTAAGGAATGCTCTTATGCGCTTCAATCTGTTTCTGCAGCTTAAAGAAGACCAGCACTTCCACGGATGAAGAAACGCAGCTTGAAATCCTTAATCACGAGCCAACTAGAGTACCCTAGCAGGACTACTAGAAGGATGCTCGATCATAAGTACGCATCACAAATCTTATATGTCGTAAACTGACCGTTTGAGTGTATCCTGTTGCTATATTCACCTGTTTCGTCACTGCAGAGGACTACGAACTGCTGACTAGTTGTATCACGAGCTAGTCTTCTGTTAGATTCATCGAAGCCTTTATAATATACGTTTTTCTTTTCCAACGAGGGTAACTCAAACTTGCCACTTTGCAACTAACTGCTCGCTCAGGTATCATCTCTCACGCAATCGAAGCTGAAATCGACCAAGATAAAGACCTACATCTACCGTGATTGGACAAATGTAAAACTACACTTCGTTTTCCTTCCGCAGTACTCTCCATCCTCTCTGCCTCAGCCTCGCTCATGCTGACGTAACTCGTATCTCTCATTTCGCAACCGCACTTCGAACAAATCTACGAAATTATACTTCAGCCCATCACGTGGGTGCGGGCCTTTGAGTGATAGTGTAGCTTCAGACCTCTCACACGGTTACAAGTGCTAGCGCCGTCGACGCGCACACCACGCTGCCACCCAGGCGCCGGGCCAACCGCGCCATGGGTGCGCGCACTGCTACCAAAATGGCCGCCCAGTACGCACTTAAGCCCGGGCGGCCCTGCAAAGGGCGCGGCAGCCCCCAAGTAAGCCAGACGACGGCGCGGGCGGGCGCGATCGCAGGCCAAGGCAAGCAGGGCGCAAGGCCCCGGCCTGCGTGCGAGGCGAGCGCATCGCCTTACTCAATGCGCTGGCCCTAATGCGGCCAGCACAAAAGCAGCGGAGCAACCCGCGAGCAACAGCTCCCGCGTCATCCTGGTGCTCGTCGTCCCCCTGCTGGTGTTCTGAATCGCCTGCGAACTAGAAACATCACCCAACTTCTTATCCCGCGGGCGGCGCCGCTCTCGCGGCCTACAGAGTCCGCGCGGTTGATTTGGATGCGGGCGGAGCTGAAGGCGGAGGCGCCCGGTTCTGTAGCGGAGCACTAAGGCCGTCAACAAACTCCAGCAAGGGCATTCGCGGCCCCGTTACGCGCTTGAATTCGCGCGCGACCTTGGGTGGGTCTCCTGCGGCGAGCACGTGTGCTGCGTAGCCCAAGTTCATCCAGCCGGTGCGCAATATATGATCGCGCTCCACCGGAATCCGAACCGCCCACATGGGAACGTGAGGGCAGATTTGCGTCAGCAAACTCGTCGCCATTTTGTACCTGCTCGCTCAGATATCATCTCTCACGCAGTCGAAGCTGAGATCGACCAAGATAAAGATCTACATCTACCATGAGTGAATAAACGTATAGATACTTAAACGGCTTACATTTCATTCTCTTTCCGTAGTATTATCCATTTCCTCTGCCATACTCACGCTGACATGACTCGCCCTCGCGTCGCTCATACATATCGTGAGCACTTCTTCAGACAAAGCTGCGACGAAGCAAGCCCACAACGCGGACGCAGGGTCGTGGTGATAGTCTGCCTCCAGTTCTTGTTCTTTTACACACGGTTACAAGCGCTAGCGCCGCCGCGCGCACGAAACGCTGCCACCCGGCCCCTCATTACATCCCGCGGCGGCGCGCGCGGGGCCAGCCGCGTCATGGCCGCGCGCTGCCGAATCAATCGAGCAGCCGCGGGGCGGGGATAAAGAATAGAATGCCCGGCCGGGCGGCTCTTCGAGGTGCCCGGGCGCCCGGCCGCCCGGAATACGGCCAGGCGGCCGCGGGGGGGGGGGGCGGGCTGCATGGGCCAACACGGTCGCGCGCGCATCCATGCCATGGCAGAAAAGCGCCCGGGCCCCCGGGAAGCGCGCGCGGCGAAGTGGCGGGGCACGTTCTCAGCGGGGCGGCGCCCTTTGCGCCCCGCGCACTTGCCAGCTCCTTGGGTGCCTCATCGAAGCGCGTGGCGGGGCGGCCCCCCCCCAACTGTGCCAAGTGCGCAAATCGCTGCAAGCGCTCCCCGCGTCTGCCGCTGCAACCCGCTCAACTGTGCTTCGCCTGCAAGATCAATCTTCACCAACGCCAGTCATTTTATTTTACAGTTCTTACGGCGGTCGCGTATTTTGGACTTCCACCCATGAAAGCCAGCACTTCCACGGTTGAAACGCAGCTTGGAGCAATGACGAGCCACGTGGAGCACGGGTGCGATTCTCAAGTAGCAGCGCTACGAGGGAGATAGTGGACAAGCACGCACTGTTGGCGGCGACAGCCGCTGCAGCCAGTCACAACACGCCCATCTTGGTACGGCAGCGCTTCAATCTTTGAAGCTACCAGACTACTTGGAAAGGGAAACAGAAGGAAAAGAATTAATTTCCCCTCGGCACGTAGAAAATTTATCTCTGCGCAGTGAGGCCGCGCCAGTCACTCCTCATAAGTTCTTGTTCCCTCATGCAAACAACAAGGTCGAGCCTCCCATACAGGCCAGATTAGTAAATCCTGTCAGTTACGACTACTACAGTTTTACACTCATGCACTGAATAAAGCCTCCCTCTACAGCCCGCAGTCTCACAGCAACGCCTCAACACTCTCTCTGGAGTGCCTCTTCTTGCTGCAGTCGCGCTGGGAGGAATCAGCACTTCGCGACTCTCGTGCGTCAGAAAAACAGGTTGTCCACAGAGAATAGAGGGACCCCTTTTCTACGGTGAATGCCTGCTAATGAACAAGGTCTCAAATCGTAAGTACGCAGAACGAGATATTTCGTCGAGAGGGACGCACGTATCCACATTTTCCGGACAAAGACGTATTCACATTTTTGTTTTTCGAGAAAATCCTGGCGCTTGCTGTTGCTTGATAATTAATTCGGAGTTCTTTTTTTAGGTCGCTTGGTGCATTTGTGTCCACCATCGTTCTGCTTCTGACGTTAGAAATAGATCATTGAAAAGCTCGGAGAAAACATAAGATAAGTATAAGTTTGCAGCTTAAACATTAACATTCATCAACGCCGAAGATGTGCGTGTCAGTTTCGGTTTTTCGTTCTTGTCCTGATTGACTATTAGTACGGGTGGAACTAGAACTACAGATGAAGCTTTAGTTGAGAATAAGAAATAGGAGTACCAATGGCAGCAAAGATGCTGAGATTGCAGGTCAAGTACCCGAGAGCGAAATCGGTCAAGGACGAGTCAAGCACGCTTCAAAAGTTTTCAAGTGCAGATCCTCCAGGAAGAATTCAAGGTGGGTCACTTTTACATTGAACCACCACAGAGTGAAAATGTTGATCAAAACAGGGACGATCGTGCCACACGACGGGCACCACTGCCAGCAAGACGGTGCAGCACGCGCTCCCGGGCCCGGTGCACTCAGGATCCCAGCGTCCGCAGCCCCCCTTGTTCCGGATATCGTGCTCGTTCCAGTGTTGTTGCTGCCGGCTGTGCTCACCGCGTCGATCTCCGCCCCGGTTTCGGCGCGGCTTGATGAAGACGCTGTAGTACTCTCTGATGTGCTGTCCGCATTCGTGTGCCCCGCAGTCCTCGCGGCCCCCGGATTAGCAAAAAGCCAATCGGTATCGCTGAACAGCTCGGCGGCGCTAGAAGCTTCTTTGAGCGTATCTCGGAGCAGCGCTTGTATGTCGCATCCCGCGAAGCACGGATGAAGCCGGTCCTGGAGCTTTTGCCAAACGCGCTGCAGCTCTTCGTTCGCCGCGTCAACACGCTTTTGCCCCTGCAGCAGCTCTTCAAACAGCTCCTGAGGTCCTTCCGCCATGATTTCGTTTCCTATTTCTTGTACGTCGTGGAGTTCCACCATGTAACAACTGAACTCTTCTACTCACGTCGTGGATGTAAGCAGCAGCACTACAACGAGGGAGATGGTGGACAAGCACGCATCAAATATAAATCTTCTGCGTCGTAAACAAACTGGTTGTGTGTGAGTGCACTCTTATTCGCCTGTCTCGTCACTGCAGAGGAATACTAAGAACTGCTGCCTAATATCACGTGCTAGCCTTATGTTAGATTGGGAGGCTACATTACGTTTTTCTTTTCGACGGAGGCTAACTTTATTTGCGTCATCAAGAACAAACTCGCCCTTTTGCAACTTCTTCAGATATCATCTCTGACGCAATCGAAGCTGACACCGGCTACATCCACCACGATTGAAGAATAGACGGAAAACTACATTTCATTTTCCTTCCGTAGTAGTCGCCATTCCCTCTGCCTCACTCATGCTAACATGACTCTCCCTCGGGTCGCTCACATGTATCCTGAGTACTTCAAACAAATCTGTGAAGCAAGAGCACAACGTGGGTGCGGACCGGTGGTAGTGTAGTGCCTTTGTCTCATCTTTTACACACCGTTACAAGTGGTTGCGCAGTCGCCGCGCACGAAACACTGCCACCCGGCCCCATAGTAGACCCCGCGGTGGCGCGCCCACCAGGGGCAGCCGCGCTATGGCCGAAGCGCTGCTGGGTCAAACAACAAGCAGCCGCAGGGCGGGGGCAGAGCACGGCACGCCCGTGCGAGGTGCCCGGGCGCGCGCCCGGAATATGGCCACACGGCCGCGGGGGGGCGGACTGCACGTGCCAGCACGGGCGTGCGCGCATGCCGAGGCAGGGAGGGCCCACGGCCCCGGAGGGGGAAGGCGCGCGCGCGGCCTGCTGCGCGGCGTTATGGCAAGGGCTGCGCGCGCCACTCGGCGCGCGCCCGTGCTTTCTAATTCCGGCCGGGGCTGACTGTTGCCAGAGTGGCGACCAAGAGAACTCCGAGGACCACAGTCGCGGTTTCAGACCATCTGCCCTTTTTCGACGCCTCCGCGCCACTTTGGTTCAGTGTCTGACCCGCCTCCGCCACTTGCTTGCCCTCCACTTTCTTCTGCACCTCCAGCAGCTCCGCCAAGTGCTTGCTTCTCACCTTCAGCAAACCGCTCTCCTCCTGCTTTTTGTCTAGGAGATGAGATCCTCCTGGATCCGGCGATAGCTGTCGAGCCCACCTTTCAACCTTCCGCATTTCTCCACCAACCTCTGGGCGAGGTTCGTGAGCTCCGTACGAACGGCGGCCAGGCTGGAGCACTTCTCGCGCGCAGGTTTCGCGAACTCGCAGAGGTCATGCTATGTAGCACAGCGACGAGCTAGAGGGGCACTCTTGCGCCCTTTCTGCGAGGCCATGGGCGACGAGCTACCTGGTGGCGCTACGTCATCATGCAGCTCCTCACGCTGATTGACTATAACCTCCTCTTCGCAAGCTGCTAAATGTGAAAGCGTTACTGCATTGATCCCCGCACCATACTTCCGTGTTGGGAAGACTACTTCAACGGACGAGAAACTTTTGCTCTCCAATCTCTTTTTTCTCTATCGTTTGAACGAATGAAAACCTGTCTTCAAGACACTTGTCTTTACGACTGCGCTGACTTTTGCGCACCATCACTCCCATGTAATCAAATAGCTTTTTCGCAGCTCAATCTATCACGGAAGCGATCTTGCAACAAGCTCTAGATCTAGTTGCAAAGACGCATAAACCGCACTCGCCTGCCGCACACCCGGTCCCTCTTAACATTACTCAGGCACACTGCACCAGAGCACTCGTCTCTCGCTGTTGTGTTCTCGCATCTCAAAAACATCCATCGGGCCACACGTCCGCAACATGAATGCGGGGCGCGACGGTTCATGATCAGTTTGGATTTTACACACGAAGCAAGATTGCCGGCACGCGCGAAGCTCCGCCGCCTATCCGATCATGGCGGGCTGCGCCTGCACGTGGCCGAATCGCCAACGCAAGGAGCAATGGAGTGGCCGCGGGCGCACGCCCGCATGGGCCAGCCGCGCAAGTAGTATGCGCACTACTAAAACAAGTGCCGGCGCGCAATACAAACACAAGCGTGGGCGGTGGCGCGAGCGGGCCTGCGCGGCCCTTCGATGGTCGGAAGCGGGGGCACCGAAGTCCCCCCTGACGGGCTTCCCTGCGCTGGGCCTCTTCGAGCCCTTTAGGAACGGCGCGCGCGCGCGGCACGCAGCCGCCCAGGACGGGCGCGCCGTGCTCTCTCCTCTGCAGGCTGCCAGCCGGCGGCCTCCAAAGGCCCAACGGGGCGGGCCTAGACTAACCGAAACAAAGCGGCGAAGCGAGAGGCGGCAAGACTCCCCGCGGGCAGAACCTGCATCATCTCCGGACTCTCCGCTACCCGGAACCGGACTTGAAGAAGCCGCACGGGCATCGCCAAACCCACCACAAGCACACTCACCACCGCGATAGATGACGAGGATGACCACAGCGCTGCGTCATCACGCTCATGCGGATTGCTGATGGCCTATTCTTCACGTACCGCTATAGCAACACACCTAAACGCACCACATTACCACGAGTTCAGGCCTAGACGCTGGTAAGGAGAAAACTTGACAGAGCAGACGACCCGTCATTTTCTTCTTCGCTCTCTCTCCTTTGTCGTCGTCTCTCAAGCTGCTCGGCCCTGATGGTATCTCGTCGTGCGTATGTTTTTTTTCCGTACTTAGTGTAAAGTAGTTCCCTGCTTTGCAGGTCATAATTTGGATCTCGACGCTCACACACAAACACACACTTCTTGGAACTTCGCTCAACATCCCAATCACGAGCAAAAAGCGGACAAGGCACTTCAGCTTTTGGAGGTTCAGGCAATGCTAAAAGTTTGGCGATATTGAATTACAGTGCGGCCGCGGGCCGGGCTAACCGCGCCATGGGCGCGCGCGCTGCTTTGAAACTAACAGCACCACGCGCGGGAAAGAACGAAGGCACGGGCAACCCACCCGGCAAGGGGAGCGGCGGCCCACATTTCAGACAGCCCGCCCGTGTCGAACGGCAGCGCGCGCGCGCGCAGTGAATGTATTGCAGGGCCGGGCCGGCGGGCGCACCAGGGCCCCGGCCTGCGTGCGGGGCGAACGCATCCCCCTGCCCAACGCGCCGGCCCCAGTGGGTACGGCCAGCACAAAGGAAAAGGGGCGGCCCCGGTCAGGGAGCGAGGGCCCCCATCCGAAACATCTAGGCGCGGCGCGGCGCGCACTTGGAAGCGGAGGAGCACCACCACGAGGCCCAGGAGGAGCATAGTGACGAACTGAACAAAACGAGTCCGCTTCTCCATTGCCTCCTCCACCTCCGCGATTCTCGCCTTGAATCGCATCGGTTCCTCCTCCATCCACTCCAGAAGCTGATCGTCCATGAACGTCAGCCTCACGTCGACCGGCGCCCGACATGAAGGCGCGGGCACTGGCTTCCGCGGGGGGCCTCGGACAAACTGGGGCCGGCAGCCTCTTCGCGGCTTCGCCGCCTCCTCCTCGCGGTGTCTGCGTCAGTTGCTTGCGCAGGCAGTGGAGGCGCCGGCAAATCTAATGCCCCGATCGCGTTCCCGCGTCCGCTGTTTCGAAGAACAAGTCCAGACTCTTGGCCATCTGCACCGCCGGTTCGCAAGCCGCGGGGGCATCATCTTGGACTGCATCACGCTGCGCGTTTTGCATCTGCAGCAAGTACCAGACGACCAGCACTGCCGTTTCTACGGAAGCATTCGAAGTAGTGTGGAGACGTCGCAGCTACGGATGACGTTGACGAGACAAAGTGTTATAATACTCGCCGTGGCGCTACAGTCGCACTACCCGCTCGCTTGCTAACTGTACTCTCCTGGAGCTCCCGTAACTCGAGTTGCAACCTCTCTCTTGTGCAGATTCACACTATAAATAGGATGTATGTCCTCTTTTTCCTGTCAAGTCTGGTAGGTAGCGTTCACTCATTGATTGAAGTTTAGCATGATGGGCCCACTCCGTGTTGTTTTCAAAGAAGTATAGTACGAGCTGCACAGCACACACAGAACAACACACCACGTATTCTTCGAAAAATGCGGCCCTCATCAAGCGCCTTGGCGCGTCATGAAAGCGTCTGCACAATGAGGGCAATGAAAAGTTTTTTTACGATCGACATCGAAACTCAGCGGTCCACAGAAGTTGGTTGTGAAAATAAGCTGTTCGTTGCGAAGGCACTTCCAGGTGCCAAGATTTTCGTCGCACTTGCGAGAATGCTTTACTCGCTTAGCCAAAATCATTCAGAAGTTACAAGTCATTTTTTTTCCAGGTGCATCAAAGATATCATCTTACAAGCGCAGACTTGGTGCTCAAATTGACAGAAAGAGAGAGGAAAGCAAAGATCTTTCTCAGATCCTTTGACGTTTTGATACAGAATAAAAAAGTAAAAGTTCGCGTATAAAAATTCAGATTCACAAGTTCTGGTTTTCAGCATTCATCACCACCCGGGTCTCACCCGCAAAGCTGTTTCGTGTTCATCCAGCAACAACGCATCGCGCCGACGGTAGAAGCTGGTTTGATGAAGGTCGGTTTTTGTCCCCGGCATGTAACTACCTGGGCATGATGACATCTTCAACAACGCAGCTCCTTGTAGTACACTGACAATCACGATACCAAGTAGCCAATAGTAGATTTTTTTTTCAGAGGTGCTTTGCAGGTTTAGGTTCGGATTGGTCAATCTTATACATCATGAAAAAGATACATTCAAGCTGTACCTGTAGTTCGTCGCCTGTCTATTTCGGGTCCGTACTCTTGTTTTCTTGCTGCACATCGGGGTTGTTCCGCCAAAACCGGGCGGGAACGCGAACTCTTATCCGAACTAAAGGCTTTTTCACGTTCACAGCTTCAGCCTTGGCAATTTGCGATATGCTGTACTCACTTACTGCCCTGGTCAGAGCTCCTCATTCAACGGAGACTTGTGGGTACTATAGTTGTCAAGAATGCAGAGTGCTGCTAGCTATACATGAGCCACGCAGTGAGTAGTAAGTACTCTTACTACCGCAGAGGTACCGCTGCAGGTGCAGTGAGGATCTCTGCATTGCAGGACAGAATCAATAAGAGTGAAAACGACTTTCGTGCGGATAGAGTTCAGGTTCGGCATCTGCAGTCCACCACTGGACAATGACGTCAGAGGCAGACCCGCACCGGTGATGGTTATGCTCGTGCAGAAAATAAATATTGAGCTGGCATCCACCGATTTATTTCCGCAAAGATTCAAAATGAAGTTCATGTCGCATACATGTCAGGTGTCTACCGAATCCCAAGATCACGTCATCAAGTCCTTCTGTTTTATGCATGACAACGACAAGCTGCTATTGCTCTAGTACAATTTTCCTGCACGATACTACCGGAGAAGAGCGAGTTCGAAGAAGTGGTTGTAGCATAGGTTGTGGTAGAACTGGCGGACGAAGCGGGGATAACAATATGCTTTGCAAAAATATGATATGATCACCACAGAGCACGCCAACTCATATTTATACGGGCTTTGACAAACTTTTTTTTCGATTTCGGTGCAAAGGAATCAGCTTTCTAAAAATGTCTTTAATCACAAAAATGCATCATGCCCCTGCGTGTCTTCGGGATCATGAAGTGTATTGCGCAAACGGATAAACACTCCCCTGCGTGGTCGTCGTGGGCAGACCTGTTAGTAGCAGTGGTGTTCTTGGAGTTGGAGTTGTAAGCGTCTATGTCTGTACATGACAACAGCTTCGGTGTTTCATGCACTGTTAATGTTAATCTACTCCTGGTCAGCAAAATGCAACGATCTCATCGTCTTCAAATCAACAACGGCCAAATTTAGTATACCGGGGAAGGACGCGGAACTGTGGACGGAGTCCTTCGTGGAAGTAGTTGTGGCGGTATGCATGGCAAATATGTCTGGGTCTGGAAGATAGCGAGATTTGTCATGCTAGTCTGGGACATGCCTCGGAGCTCTGTATCGTGTATGGCCGTTGGAAGAGTTCCTCTGGTCTGTCATACAAAAACGCAGTTTCTCATGCGAACCACACGACACAGAGCCACGAAAAAAGAAAAACTTGTTATGCATGGCGGTGCATTACGGTATGCTTATCTACTGTGCATCACAACTTTCCAGATTCAGACGTGAGTGTTTGCCCTTGATACTACGACGTTGCCCCCTTGCTGGAGGAAGCCGCGGGCGCCAGCACATCTTCGATGGACAGTTTGAGCGTCAACGCCGCCCTGTGGTCCGCCACGCGTCCTAGGATGGCGTGCTGGCCTCGGAACGTCGGTTTGTAACCCTCGCGGAGTCCCAAAGCCCTCAGCTTCACGCGGCCTTCAAAGACGTGGCCCGGTTCCTTGTGCACGTCTTTATTGCGAGGAAAAATCCCCCCTCCCCATATCGATAAGGCACGCCTCAGAAAATTTGTCATGCTGATTTGTGACCACAAATCGCATCTGTGATGCAAGAAAGCAACGCCACAGGCTCCGCCCCATCATTCAGGCGGTTTGTAATGCTGGTGGGCCTACAGCATAGACGTTCGCCATGCTAAGTGCCTAGGCCAAAACCTCTCGACTCCGGCAGGATATGGGCCTGCAGTCCTCTAATTTGTGGTCACAAATCAGCATCACAAATTTCGCTTTCGATATGGGGAGGGGGGAATTCTCCTTACGATAGTCTTCCAGGCGGATTCTGGCCCCGTACAGCGGCTCGTCGCGGCCGAAACCATGGCGCGCGGGCAGCCGCGTATGAATTGCAAAAGTGTCTGGGTCTGGAAGAATGCCAGACTTCTCATGCAGGTTTTCCATGACCCATGAGGTCTGGCATGCAGGACACAGCAGGCCAGATTCTGTGATGAAAGTTCTATCATGCTTATCTTGCATGAGAAACTCCCCCCAAACTTGGTCGAAAGTGGACTGCCTTTGGCCCTCATGCAACAGAGATTTCTGCATGATCCAGATTTAACATGACAAGTTGCAATCTTCCAGACCCAGACATTTTTGCAATCCATATCCCGGGCAAATAAACTTGCACAAGTTCACCATGTCCCAGGAGACGAACACCCCCAACTCCGCATCCTGCAGGTCGAAGAAGGCAAAGCGCTGAAAGCCCATGATGGTGGTTCTGCCCGCGTCTTCCTTCATGATGAGCGCGATGCTCTTCTTCGGGTAGTAATGGTCCGACTCGTCAAAGTTCGCGGCCGGTAGTGGGATGAACTCCGTTATAGCGTTCTCAAACGTTACATTCTCAACTGTTACATGAAATTTGTCATGCAAGAACGGCAAAAGTGAAAGGGAAAAGCAAAGGTTGGCGGGCCTTTTGCTTTACAGCCAGGTTTGGAGCAGATTAAAACGCTATCTAGTCCGTCGAGAAGTTGTGATGCGGAGAAGGCTTGACCGTCGTGTACAGAGCGATAGTGTTTTTGCATGACAAATCATGTACTAACAATTGAGGACGTAACCTTTGAGAACGCCATATCCGTCCGCAGATGCTCCGGGTCCGGGCCCTCGTCGTACCCTTCAAAATCAAAGTCCTCCTCGTACCACTCGTCGCTCTGGTTGATGTACTCCTGGATCGGGAGCAGCTGGTCGAGGTTGTGCACGTCCAGCACCTGTGAAATGCAAATATGTCTGGGTCTGGAAACTCGTGATGCTGGGTGGTATATCATGAGGAGGCAGCAAGTGCTGGCTCAGCATGACAAGTTTCTGAGCTTCTAGGTGTAGCAAGTAGCCTATTGATTCTGCATGACACACTACTGCGTTTCTGCATGACAGAAAAATGGGGCTCTTGGGTAACTACGTGCATGACAGATTTAAGAGTCATGCCAGACAAGCATGACAAACGTGCACTCTTCTAGATCCAGACATTTTTGCAGTTGATAGCACCTCCGCTACCAACCGGTATCGGGGAGGTTCATCCGCCGTCTGCTGCTGCTTGCGGTCCGGCTCAGGATCGACCGGAGATTCTACTTGATGTTTCCCGAACCCCGGTGTGTCACTCATCTTACTCAGCAGTGACGTCCGTCCTACGGGTGGCTGACTCGAGAGCCGCACCTGGAAATATTAAACGATACTGTGGAATAAGATACTGCATAATTTAAATTCGCCATCAAAAAAATTCATATGAAGGTGGTTCGACTTATTAGGTTAATGTCCATACCGTTCTTGACGACGGGATTCTACTGGAAGCGGGTCCGGGACTCCCCGGCGCGGACTCGTCGAAGACCTCGTCGCCCATCAGACTCGGTGAGTCCTCATCATGTCCAGCTACCCCGCCTTCTAGGCGCGCAAACTATGACGTAGAAAACCATCGGCGCTCCAAGTTTGTCATGCATCAAACACAACACGGACACATGAAAACTTTGTGTGCGAACTATGCGCTCCTGTTATTGAAATAATTCCTCATGCTTTACTATTACTAATCACCGTGTGTTTTATTGCGGTACCAGCGCAATCTGGGTTTTGTGTAGGTCGAGCTCGAGCATGTTGGAATGCTGCATGACAAACTTGCCAAGGAGTCCGAACACATTGTCCATGTCATAGTATCACACTGGCAAAATACTGTTTTGCTTCCGCGGCCGCTCCCCGAAACACTTTGCAGGCGTCGAAAAACCTGTTTTGACGTTCGATTTTGCTTTTTTGAAAGATGTTCGTGCTTCGCAAAGGTAAGAGGACATGGACGCTTGTTCATTCCGCATTCTTGGTTCACACGCTAGTTGTGTTTTTCATTTTCTCGATTAAAGCAAAATTTTGTAGTTGGTAAAAAAACAAACAAGCACTATACTCTGCTTTCATCATGCTGTCGATCGCATCCCGCGCAGCCTGGATCATTTCCAGAATTCTGGAGTTGCCCACGTCTTGAAAGCGACTCAGTGCCTCGTCGCACAGACTCCGCTTGCCCTTTAAGTCGCGATAGGTTTCCATCTTGTCCACCAGCTCCGCCGCCTCGGGGTCCTCGAGTTTGCTGACCAGCTCGCGGAGCTGGTGCACCATTTCCTCGTATTTGCGCAATCCGCCGGCAAGGTCCGCTGTCTTGTGCGCAAATTCCGCCTTCTCGTCCACCTGTTTCAATTCCCCCCGCAACTCGTCCAGCTTCCGGTGGAGCTCCGTGACCTCGGCCGCCTGGTGTGCCTTCTGGGTAGTGAGCTGTTCTTCCAGACGACGCACCTGTTCTTTCAGCACCTGCTTCTCCTGTTCGACAGCCTCGACCCGGTCCTCCGTTTTCGCGGCTTGCTGCCGCCGGTGGTCCGAATCCGTGTTGAAATCGGCGCGGACGTCCGCCATCACCTGCTTCAACTCATCGAGGTCCTCTCTCACGCCCTGGAGGCCGCGACTCACTTTGCTCGGCCCAAACATCTTCCTGTCGCCGTTCTTCACGAGGTGCGCGTCGCTGCGAGTTGTAGCTGCGAAGTGAGACAAGGGCAACTCGAGACGAGGGACAGGTACTATTGCAGGACGGGTCGTTCAACGCCGCGATCTGTACTAGACAGAGGTTGAAGGTCGATAACGAGGTGCGGATGAATGCTGGATAGTTTCAAATCTGAATTTCTTCTAATCGGCTGCTCCTCTCCCGTGACATATACACTAAAATCTATGCTGTCACAGGCTTCTGTCTTGCGGAGATGGATTATTGACCGTTGACTAGTACAGCGAGGTGCGGGGTCGAAGAAAGATGTTGGGTAGTTAACAGTTAGCAACGCCGGTTACTTACCTATCACTACACCTGGTCCTTTTTTTCAAAAACCGTCAAAGCTGTTGTAGATCTTCTTCTGCTGCGACCATGGCCATTTTGTTGGCCATTTGAACCTCAAAAACGAAGTGAAAATCAAAAACCATCATGAGCAGATTTGAAAAACGAAAGCGAAGCAACGACCACACACTCGCAAGAAATACTAAGTAAGCACATCAATTTGCGATATTTTTATGGCGCGAAAAAAATAAACGACATCTACAGCTCTACTTATGGCACAAAAAACGAAAACCGAAGGAGCGACAAGATGGTGCGATTTTATGCGATTTGTGTTGTTGTAGCAGCGAAAGTTTTGGCGAGATTTGCTTCTCGCAGGCGAGATGATGAACAAGAACACGCAATCGTGGTATCTCACTTCTTACTGCGCTAGACCTGACAACGCTAACAATAAAAAAACTTTTCTTTCATACCTCCGACAAGCCATATCTTGCAATTTTTCTTGTGTACAGTCCAGTCATTCTTGAATGTCTTGCAATTTTTCTTCAACGCAATCTTGTGTACAGAAATGAAGCACCAAAAACGATTCCAAATAAAATTCGAAGTACAATTTAATTTTTCTTGTCTCCTTCGAGCTGGACGAGCTCCCACAAGTCGCCTAGTGCTCCTTGCAGATTTTGGACCTCGCTGAACAGGTACAAGCAGAGCACCGCAAGTACCAAGTTCACGACAATTAAAAAAATCTTTCCGCAGTCCAATGTCTCCCTCTCCACCTCGTCCGGCTTTCGCGCACCCCGTGCCGACTTCCTCGCTCCCTCCAGGTGGATAATTATCTTATGCACAATGGGCAAGATTATACCATCATCTTCTGCTAAAAGTAAAACGTGCTTAGTGCTGGCAGTGGCGTTTCAAATCCCATACTAATTGCCTACACAGCACAAACGAAACGAATGCAACACAAACATATTTATACTTGTCACGAGTGCTTTCTTCTCACTTCTTCAGCACGACCTGCACCTGCAATGCAAGCAAGCAACCAATACAACAGTGGATGAGATGAGGTAAAGTTACTTGGGATATCTTGTTTGGAGGTCCCCCAGGATGACGGCAACCTGGTTCTTCATCTCCTCCGTGTCCGCCGCCATCCCGAGGACCTCGTCTCTCGTTTCGCTGGGAGCAGTCATTTAAAAAGGTTTTGCTCACGAAAAAATCTTTGCAACAGCCACACGCTGCGACCGGCAATTTTCAGGTATGAAGTCGTATTCTTATTCAGCAACTGTGATATCCGTAAAGCCAAGTGCGACATGAATCAGAAGTCACCTGTAAATGTACACGACACACGACCTGCAGAACCAGAAAAAGGCCGACATTCAAAATTTCGACATGCCCAATACGACGAGCCCAACGCGACGTATCTATAGGAATGCAGCAGGAGTCAATCACAGATATGTTCGATCGGAAAAGCTACTAAAGCGACAGGAAATCAGGCGTGCGACCTTCCTCAACGTTCCAACGAAAAACTTCGGAGCTTCGCCCCCAAACGACCCGCTGCATAATTTCTTCCTGGACGACAAGTGGTAGGTCCAACATCAATCGGATCTACCATCAACAACGAAGAGACGTTTGTCTTCATACCAAGAGCTGCCAACGATGACACGCGGACTGCGGAACAGCACATCGTCGTAAAACGAATGTGCCACTTTTCAAACATGAAGTACCGGCACGAGCATGTTGCACGACTCAGTCCTTGTCATCAAGCCTGGAACTTACGATCAAGGTCGGCAATCACACGATGCAACCACGAACGGAATAAAGGACACCTGACCTTGTATGTTTGGTTGCTTTCCTCCAACGTCTGTGAACAAAGGAACGCGTTCTTCTATGTGTGAATAGGAATTGGCTATTGTACTTTCGGTGGCTGTAGTTGAGTTTCATCCTCGTGCTCGTCCAACGATTACGATTCAGTTTCAGGTACATTTCGATTGTGCAGCATGAAAAATTATGAAATCTTGGTCCGTGAAGCCCATAATTGATTTTAGGTTTATGCCGAGAAGCAGTTATCAAGAGCCCATTGATTTATGAATTTCAATTTTACATGCTAGCAGTTGCTCGGTGTATTTGCTGTTGTTCCTGCTTCTTTTTATACTGGTGCTGTAATGCTTTACCAACTGTGTAGGCTTTGAGCGTGCGTGAAACGGTGTCGGTAGATTTATTAATATCTACATTTACTGTTGCGTAATACTGACTTTCCCTTATCAGCACATCAAAAATTATCTTGTGTACTACTCTTATCGATGCCGACGTGCTTAGTCCTCCCTTTGTCAGTGCGAGAATAAAGAAAGTAAAAAACTGATTGAAAAAAAAGAAAAAGCCCAAACATAACTACTTTTTTATCTTTTCCGAGATAGAGCTGTATCTTGAAGCGCGAACAAGCCGAACTACAATTACTTTTTTCACCCCACAACTTTCTCGCAACCCGACATCTCCAATCTGGACGGTTCACGACCATCCCATCCAGGCCGTCCACCCCTGCTGGTCCTTATCGTTCTCAGGTTTTCCAGCATCCACTATTTCGTCTTTGTTCAGCATGTGCTGGCCGGTGGTCAAAGCAGACTCACTGTTCCGCGCTGGATCCGACTGTTCCATTTTGGGTGCGGAGGGTTCGTTGGGGCTGGAGGCGGCGTCCGAGCCGTGCGTCTGTTGTTTTCCCAGCGCCTTTTTCTTTTCGATCAGAGCAGCCTGAGATTTGTTTGTTCTGAGTGTGTGATCATGATGACAGCCTTCTCAAGATTTTTTCATCTGGTTCAAAGATAAAAGTGGGTGCACGGAGCACCTTTCTATCTGACAGGAACCAACAAACGAATACCTTTATTTGCCCGTTAACTCGTGGTCTGTTCCAAGATGCCTGCTGGCGTTTCCAGGCCGCCGAAAAGTAGTCCGTCACGGCAGCGAAGTAAAACTATGCAGTGCAATGCGGCCCCAGAATCCGATAAAAATGCAGGTTTTCATATCGTGTGTAAGTAACCAGCTCATCACCGGTTTCGGTGACGGCGCCAGCACACGTGCAATACAAATTCGTCGCTCGGGCACAAATTTCATGTAAGTAGATGACCGTAATTTCCCCCCCCTCTCCTATCAACTTCTACAACTCCTGCTCGACATATTTATTTAAAGCTGTACAGCTCGAGCCCAAGAAAAGCTGGGTATTTGTCAAAAAATCTAGTTGTAAGTGTCGGTCATGCACGTAAGAAGGAGCCCATCACCAGCAACAGACGAAAAGGAATGAAAACTGAACTCGATATGACCAAGCTAATGAAGGACTATGGGACGTTGTGATTGCATAGGCCGCGAGAGACTGGAGCATGCGTGACAGAGAGGCCGTCCTGCAGTGCGGACTTCTCATCATTTGCTTTTGCACCTGATTCGCTGCTGACTCCTCGACCCAGTTCCGGCTGCTCGCTGACGACCGCGCTCTCATTCAGTAGAGACGTGTTGAAAAGCGGCGCAGATTTGATGTCGAGCTCCACGTGTTGGAGTCCGGGGGTGCAGTATGATGTGGAGTTCCATGTGTTGTTGGGGTCCGGCGCACTACCGGTGCAATTGGCCGAGAGGCTCGATGTTTCGTTGTTCCATTCCAGGTACGATGTCCCGTTTGTGAGCGCTGGTTGTTTTTCGTTTTCATCAGTTTTTCCAATGTCAATCTTTCTTTGCCTTTATTATATGCAAGTGCGCGTGGTCTGCATCACCAGAAAAAGCAAAGACCGCCCTTGCGCCATCACCATGAGTATGAGCATGAAGCATTAGTTTTGCATGAGAAAAATAGTACCCTCAGTGGTACCACCCTGGTGGCCCGGCTTCTGGCCGGATTCCTTGTTCCCGAAAGTGAAAACCGCGAAAATATTAATCGAAAAAACTTCCCCAGGCAAGCTCGGACGAGTGCAGCTAGGGACGCATCAGATAAATTGGGAAAACTTGGGACTCCAAATGGCCACTGCCATTTCATGGATTCGAAGTTGCTTGCACTACCAGAAAGAAAGAGAGAAGAACGAAGTTGACGTGCATCGATTTTGAATGAAAATTCGACGACTTGTTCCTGCACTCCTCTTTGTAGTGCGCGGGGTGCGGGCTGAAGTTTTTGTTCTGGTAGAAGATAGTGACGGCCGCAGCGACGAGAAGTGTGGCCATGAAGGGAAACTGTGCGTAGGTCCATTTTGGCGTCACCGGCAGGGCTTCTGCAGCGTCCGGCAGCGCTGCTGCAGCGTCCTCCTGCTGTTCCCCGTTCACTACTTTGCAAGCTCTCGCTATGCAGAAGTATCTCGCATGATCCGTCTTGTTTGTCACCATCCAGCGTCCATGTGGCGCCGTGTGGGCGAGGTATGAACTGCGAAATAACTTCCAGAACTCACCCCACGCACATTCAACTATGAATCTAAGATCATGCAAGAGCAAAAATCAAATCAATCTTTCATCAGCTAAAAAACCTTCATCTTTTGAGTGTGGAATTGGTTCTGGGAACACTCTGTACATCATACACAGTGCAGGCAATCCAAACCTCCCTTGCAATACGGCATATGCGAATTCAAGTTTGCAGTCCAACGAATATGCACAACAACAGTTTCGCGCGCTTGCATAAATTAAGTATTTCCTGCGCTGCTACAAAATCAACTTGATAGTGGAGGCACTATCAAGAAGAGGTAGTCGCACTTTTTTCCTTTTCATGAGGCACAGCCGACGAAGTGTAATACCACTGACGCTAGAAGCTTATGCACGAGTGCGGTTTGTTGTAGATGGTACAGATCACAGAAAGTGCATCGGAACTTCTTCTTGGGCGCTGTTTTCTTCGACATTTTGTGCGATGTTTTGCTGGATGTTTTATTGGATCGTTTCATTTTGTTCTCCACCGACTTGGACCTGCCTCCTGCAGAAGAAACACCAGCCCGACGACCCGACTGCTTCTTCCCTACGGACACTGACGCATTCCTTGCCCTGGTCTTTTTGCTAGCCTTAGCACCCGTCGGCTTCTTCGATACTGGAACCGAGGCCCTTCTTGTCTTCTTCATCGCGTCCTCCGCTATAAGAAGTTGAAGTAAGAAGTGGTGGCTGTCTTACTGAGATGTTGATGTTCCGCTCGGAAGGAGGTTTTATAAACTCAAAGCGGATTTCTCGCTTTTTATCGCCTCGGTTTCATCGGCTCCGGTGTCCGTGGCACGCAGCCGCAACTTTGCGGTGGCACGCTATCAGGACTGTGTTTGTTGGACTAGGTACTTACTCAAGTCCGCCGAAGTAGTGCGGGCACTTTTTATTGCAAGCCACATACCGTGGGGCGCCACATCATTTCTTTCTACTTAGATTGCTTGCTCAGTTGTCCAGCTCCTCGAGATAGCCTGTTTCTCTTAGCGTCAGTATATCATCTGCACCCGGTGCTTCGGATCAATTTGATACAAAGTCACTCTACCTCTCCGCGCCAAGACCATTTGGAACTCCTTCGCACTCGTCTGTTGAAGGAATAGTGTAGGTATAGGCAGAGGGACTCTATCTGTCGTGTGCATTGCACCTTCTCTCTCAGTCGGTTCTCGTTGCAGTAAAATTGAAAAGCAAAAATGTTTGTAGCTGGGGGACCCAAGCCGGACCGTCGCGGGACCGCCACTAAGACAGCCAGGGTGGCATGATAGATTTTCCCTTCCGTCGCCATTCCATAGATATTGTGAGAATCGCAAGGAAGTGGGACCGTCGCGGAACTGTCACTAAGACTACTATCAGTCTTGCTTGAAAACGAACAAGCTTTTTTTGTCCGCGAAATGCTAAAACTTTCCAGAAAAAGTCAGGAAAGCAAGTGAAACCCTAGTGATTGCGGTGCTATTATGCACGGCAGCGTGGATTTCCGTTACAGAGTCACTACAGAGTCGCTTCATTATGATTTCGCAAATTTTGGTAAAAACTTCCAATCCGGAAGCCATCAGAAAAGCACTTCGCGCCTTCTCAAAATAAAAACTACAAATAATATTGCCGTGCTGTTTCCGAATGTGTTAGTCCTGCTTGAAGAGAAAACGCCTCCTTTTTTTGTGTCCGAAATAAAAATACTCACTTCTCTAGGAAAAGTAACGAAAGCAAGTGAAACCCTGGTGACGGCGTTGCTATTCTGCACGGCATCGTGGGTTTCTGTTACAGAGTCACTACTGACTCGCTTCACTTTCATTTCTTAACTTCTAGTAAAAACTTCCAGTCCGCAAGCCACCAGGAAAGCAATTCACGCCTTCTCAAAATGAAAAGCACAAAGGTAGCGCCGTGCTGTTTCCGAATGTGTTAGTCCAGCTTGAAGAAAAAACGCCTCTTTTTTTTGTGTCCGAAATAAGAATACTAATTTTTTTAGGAAAAGTAACGAAAGCAAGTGAAACCCTGGTGACGGCGTTGCTATTCTGCACGGCATCGTGGGTTTCTGTTACAGAGTCACTACAGAGTCGCTTCACTTTCATTTCTTAATTTTTAGTAAAAACTTCCAGTCCGGAAGCCATCAGGAAAGCAATTCACGCCTTCTCAAAATGAAAACTACAAAGGTAGTGCCGTGCTGTTTCCGAATGTGTTAGTCCAGCTTGAAGAAAAAACGCCTCTTTTTTTTGTGTCCGAAATAAGAATACTAATTTTTTTAGGAAAAGTAACGAAAGCAAGTGAAACCCTGGTGACGGCGTTGCTATTCTGCACGGCATCGTGGGTTTCTGTTACAGAGTCACTACAGAGTCGCTTCACTTTCATTTCTTAATTTTTAGTAAAAACTTCCAGTCCGGAAGCCATCAGGAAAGCAATTCACGCCTTCTCAAAATGAAAACTACAAAGGTAGTGCCGTGCTGTTTCCGAATGTGTTAGTCCAGCTTGAAGAAAAAACGCCTCTTTTTTTTGTGTCCGAAATAAGAATACTAATTTTTTTAGGAAAAGTAACGAAAGCAAGTGAAACCCTGGTGACGGCGTTGCTATTCTGCACGGCATCGTGGGTTTCTGTTACAGAGTCACTACAGAGTCGCTTCACTTTCATTTCTTAATTTTTAGTAAAAACTTCCAGTCCGGAAGCCATCAGGAAAGCAATTCACGCCTTCTCAAAATGAAAACTACAAAGGTAGTGCCGTGCTGTTTCCGAATGTGTTAGTCCAGCTTGAAGAAAAAACGCCTCTTTTTTTTGTGTCCGAAATAAGAATACTAATTTTTTTAGGAAAAGTAACGAAAGCAAGTGAAACCCTGGTGACGGCGTTGCTATTCTGCACGGCATCGTGGGTTTCTGTTACAGAGTCACTACAGAGTCGCTTCACTTTCATTTCTTAATTTTTAGTAAAAACTTCCAGTCCGGAAGCCATCAGGAAAGCAATTCACGCCTTCGCAAAATGAAAAATACAAAGGTAGTGCCGTGCTGTTTCCGAGTAAATTACTCCTGCTTGAAGAAAAAACACCTCCTTTTTTTGTGTCCGAATTAAAAATACTAACTTTTCTAGAAAAAGTAATGAAAAGAAGTGAAACCCTGGTGACGGCGTTGCTATTCTGCACGGTGTCGTGGATTTCTATTACAGAGTCACTACACAGTCGCTTCACTATCATTTCACCACTTTTAGTAAAAACTTCCACTCCGGAAGCCGTCAGAAAAGCAATTCGCGCCCACCTTTGACAATGACAAAGACAAAGGTAGCGACAGGCGGGATACAGCTAGACCACTTCTAGTCCGCAGGATGCCATGAACGGATAATCCGCGAGGAAGGTCCGCCTGCTGAGAAGATGATCCTGCTGGTTTCCTGACTGAAGAGGAAGGTCCGCCTGCTCATTTCCTGACTTCCAGTCCTGTAGTCGCAGATGATTCTTTCAAGGAAGCAGTCTCTTCATCGCTTAATGTAGTGTCATCTTCATAGCTTCTTCGTAGCCACTTCTGCTAAAAAGTACTCAAACAGAAACTGCTCGCCTCACTTGCAAGAACAAAATCCACTCGAGAGAGAAGTCCGCTCACAAAAAATATCACACATGTTCGTGATGCCGCTCCGCGGCATCCTCTCCAACACACTTCAACGAACGCGGACGCCAAGACGAGAGCCTTACAGTGCCCAGCACGACTTTTCCGAAGCTCAAATGGTCAACGCCGCGCAGCGCCGGCGCATAGCAAGTCCCACCGCAACAGCCCGCCGCAAGTGGAGGCCGCGCGAACAGGGGCGCGCAAGAAGGAGTTTCCGCGGTGCGCCCGGGCGGATGGAAACCCCAAGGCCGGGCCAGCGGGCAAGAGCAAGCTTGCCCGGCAAGCGCCTGCGCTGCGCGGCGGCGGCGGTGGAGGCTCAAATGCAAGGGCCTCGCGGAATCATCAGCGGCAAGTAGGCGGATCGCGCGGGCCGGGCCTGGTGGCCACGGGCGAATCGCGCGCCCCGAGCGAGCAAATAGGCCCAAGCCAGGGGGCCGGCTACTGCCCGCGGGCGGCCGGCGCAACTGAAGGAACAGCGCGCCGGGCCGGCGGCGCAACTCGCAAGGGTTGCCGCAGGCGGCGCGGAATAGCACCAGAATCCGGCGGGACGAGTGCGCTCCCGTACGCGGCTAACGTCTGTTGGACGCCCACGAGCTCACTCCCCACGGCGTTTAGACGCTCGATCGCCTTGGGCACGTGGTGGCCCAATTTGTTCGCGGTCTGCGACGTCGAGGACTGTACGTCCTGAGCTGCAAGCCGGTGCTGCGCCTGCTCTTGCGCTTTTGCCTGCGCTGTCATCGCCGTGCCATGATCAAGTCGAAGTCTTACAAAAAGTTCCTGCTGTGCCAGGACCGGGCCGTTGTTTATCAAATGCCAAGAAATATGTCTGGGTCTGGAAGAGTCATCGGCAGCCTGTTTTGGTATGACACGGAAGACCTGCCACGGTAGCCGTAGCATCACAAATTTAGTCGAAAAGGTTTCGCAATGCCTATGCCGCATGACAAGTCGTTTATTTATTTCGGTGACAGGAAGTGGGCAACTACTTTTGCTGCCGATGCATGAGAGATTTGTGCTTGCTTTTCTGAAACGCGCATCAGAAGTTTGCATCCTTGCAGGCCCAGACCTATTTGCCATGCATATTGCTTCCCCTTTACCGATTTCCGTCATGACGTCGGCAACAGGCTTTCCGCAAAAACTGCAGTAGTCCAGATATCAAAAAAAAAACATTGGAGGTGTAACGTTTTTTGTGGAACAGCCCTACAAATCTCTTTAGCATGACAGCAAATTCTGTCCTGCGCAGATAGCATGCGAAAGCGCACTTGATTGGCACCTTCAATGCAAGACCAGCATCACAGACGCAAGCACCTCGCGTGTTGCGCATCACAAAATTGCAACATCTACAATTTTCTTTTTTTGTTGGATACCAGAGCGCAGACGGAACGCCCCCAGTGGTAATGCAGGTTTCCGTGCCAGTTCCCCGGAGGTACGCAATAGTTGCAATTCCCGCGCCGAGACCCTCCGCCGCCAGCCATGGTATTCCTGCAACTTAGCCTCTCAGAAGAAGTCGCAAGTAGTTCCTCCACGTCGTCCTGGGGCTTTGCGCCGTGAGCTAAGTACTCTTCTCCCACTCCTGTGCTGGTTAATAATATACGTTTACAGTTTTACGAAGTATTTTAACTTTCACTTTCTCGCGTGTTGCACTCATCTCTCTAGTAGAACGGGGGTAATAGTTTTTACCGAACCTCCACAGGTGGACTAGAGCTAGACCACTTCTAGTCCGGAGGGACGGATGATTTCCTGACTTCCCCTCTGTCTTGATGTAGTCGCAGAAGATGACTCTTTCAAGCAAGCAATCTGTCTCGGTGTCATCTTCGTCGCCTCTTGTTCTTATTGTATATGCTGCTAAAGAAGTAAACAGAAACTGCTCGCCTCACTTGCAAGAACAAAGTTCACTCGAGAGAGAAGTCCGCTCACAAAAAATATCACACGTGTTCCTGATGCCGATCCTGCGGCATCTTCCTCTCCAACACACTGCAATCAACGCGGACGCCAAGACGAGGGCTTTCTCGATGTTGCTCAGCAGGACTTTTTCAAAGTTGAAAGGGCCAGCGCCGCGCAGCGCCGGCGCATAGCAAGTTGCACCGCAACAGCCCACCGAACGTGGCTGGGGGCCGCGCGAAACAGGCCTGAGGGGCACGCAGGAAAGAACTTCCGCGGAGAGCCCGCCCAGCTGGAGGCGAGGCCGGCCGCGGCAAGGCCACCGCGAAAGAGTCTGATTGCCCGGCCAGTGGCAGCGCTGCACGGCGAACGCGGCGGGCGGGGGCACAAATGCAAGGGCCCCAGGGAATCACTAGCGGCACGCGCGCCCGGGCCTGGTGGCCACGCGCGGCGCGCGCGCTCCGGGCAGACAGAGAAGGAGGCCGGGGCCAGGGGATTGCCGCCCGCGGACGGGCGGCGCAACTGGAGGAACACCGCGCCGCAGACGATGCCGCAAATCATAAAGATGGCGCACATCGCTGCATCGTGCGAGGACCCGGGCGCAGCCTTCGCCTCCACCCTGGCGATTTCCTCCGTAAACTTCACGGGCGCACCTGTTACGGCTTGCCGCGCGAGTTTTATCTCCGCCCCTCCGCTCCGTGCCCCACCGTCGTCTTCTTGCTCCCCCGCGGCATTTTCAGCTGTCAGCGGTCTGCGTCTCCGTTATCCTTCGAAGGACGTGCAGCACAATAGGAACAACCACGCGCGGGGGTTCATCGGGTAGTCGCATTTTTTACATGCTGAGCTACTAGTACTAGTAACTCCTTGCACTACTGGTTTTTATAACCCGCAACAAACATGTAACGCAAGACAATGAAACAAGCACACTCGCCTGTCTCTTCGTGGAAGCGGAATCAAATCCGGCAACTTCGCTCTGGTAAAATGCTGGCTGATAGACCTCATAGGAAACCAATCTAGTACTTATGAGAGATCCTTTCATCGTACAAACCGTGCACGCTCCACTAAAAACATAAGTCATAGCCATCTCTGCACCTCCGGATTACTTTAAAATCAAGAAAAATGAAAACTCGTGAGATTTCCGCTCCGCACACTGAAGCCCACCGCAGACCCTCTAGAACAGGACTCTCTTTCTCGTCCCGGGAACAGCACTGCAATGTCTTGACTACAGCATGCAGCACCCGCGTATTAACAGAGAACACGTCGCACTCGAACTTCGCCAGAACGAAGTGTCGCGCGCCCTGTTCCGGTATCCAGATTTTCTTCTTGCGTTTCGATTTTCCACAAACTGTATACAGATATTGAAGTCCTCTTCTAGTTTTTCTTTTTCGATCTTAATCTGCGCACCTCTTCGTCACGATTTTTATTTTGTACAACGGATATTAAGCGCGAGGTGCTTATTTTAATTTTCTTCACCGCTTGTGCTTCGCTGTAATTCTTCTACCTGTTGGAAATAATAGAGTGGAGAAGTCTGATAGCATTTTACAGAAGTTTTTTTTTAGTGTCAATCGCGAATAAGGAAAAGTCGTATTGTTTCTTGAAAGCTGGCAAATACAAGTTCGTATTAATTTCGGTGCGTTCTGAATATTTTCATTTTTCGCATTCGTTTCAACATTTCGGATATAATAATCGAGTTGGCAAGTAGCTCTACCACTTTTTATCCAGGAAACTAATTTTGGCGTGTACACAGATCATACAACAACGGCGAAGTTTGAATTTGGGGAGAAAGGTGTATTAACGTAGTGAAAAGGGTTCTTGTGCTCGACGTCTAACTCATCTGAAAGTTCCTTTGTTACAATCTGAATAGTTACGTGATAATTTTCCGAGTGAAACAAGTTATACTTGCAAATAGTAGTCAAATTCTGTTAAATTAAAAGTATAAACTGAAAATAAAATGCTTTCTTGAAATGGTCTGCTAAAACTGAAACTTGAACGTAAAACAAAATTCCTGTCGTCTGAGTGTGATCGTTTATTTGCTTTCCCAAGACCTGGGTAATTGTATGAAAAGATACTTCGCCGCAGCAGGCGATCGTAGCCTACAGCCACGCCTCGCAAGAGTGGTTTCTCTCCCGCCCAGCCGCTGGACACTCCTCCACCCCATGTTCCGGTTCTGGCTCCGCTAGAACTGATGTGCTTTCTGCTTCCGCAGTCAGTTGTGGTAGTTCTTGTGCGATAGTTGTGCTGTTTGTAGTTCCCATCGCTGCGAAAGTGCCCTGGTCTACTCCTTCAGCAGCTTCTACTGGAACATTGCAGGAAAAACCACGAGCGCCATGATCATCTCCCGAGCCCGCGTCGCAGGTGGCGCCGCAGGTAGTCAAAGACCTGGCTCTACTACAAGTCTTCTCGCGCCACACCACACTGGAATCGTTCGCGTGAAACATTTGGGCGGCGGTATCAGGCACGCTCGTCTCGGCGTCGGCTGAGCACGAGGATGCATCACTGCCGGGAAACACTTTGGCAAACAGATTCTTTGCTACCGTGGCGAAACTGAAAGACGAACTACCCGGTGCGGGGGAAGATGAAGAAGTCGGAGAAGAAGTACTAGAAGTTGTTGTAGCAGTTGCCTTTGATGTATATTTCCCTTCCACCTCCTCGCTATCTTCTTGTTCTTCGTTCTCGATTTCGCTTATCCTGAGTAAAAACGTGCCCACACCAGAGTCAGGATGGGGATTTTGCAGCACAAACCTCCGAGTTTTGTGAGTCACGCATGACAAGCTGCACTCTGCAGCGTAGTGCAGGTTAGCAAGTGCAGCCGCGTCACAGATTCGTCTGCTCATCCTGTTCACAGCATCACAAATTCCAAAACACGACTGGAAATGGCTCTCATGCGGATGCGCATTACAAGTCTTCCTGTCTTTGCAAATCTGCATTACAACTCTGGTGTGGGTACGTTTTTACTCAGGATATCGCTTTCGGCTTCACTAACCCACTCCTCCTCTTCGACCTCCTCGAACAGGAATTTCTGATGCGCAATCAGCATCGCCTGCTCCACCGCTCGCGCGCGCTCGAGCTTTCCCCTTTTCTCCCGTGCGGCCGAAAATTGGAACCCGAGAAGGAGGAAGACGATGAGCAAGAGTCAGGTATGCATCGCAAACACTACGCCGCCTCGTGTCGTAGGTACAAACTGGTGATGAGTAGTGGAAGACACGTAATGATACATTATATTCTCTCGGTCTCGCACTTTCCATCTATATTGCATGACAAAAACACCTCTTCTCAAGTATCGATGATTCAGCGTCGCAGTGGTTTGCAAAAATGCGTAAGCGGCGACAATGAAAAACTCGGAGGTGCAACAGGACGACGCGATCGCTTCTGCGTCTGCCATGCTGGCGGGCCAGAATGAATTCCCCAGGCGGCTCGTCGAGAAGATGGTTGCCGTTGGCTTCGGAGCTGCGAGGCTACTTTGGCTGTAGTTCTCGTCGTTATTTTCTTCGTCTTCGAGCAGCGTGTCGTAAGTTGAAACGTCGTAGTCCTCCTCCTCCTCGTCCTCTTCTTCGTCATCCCCCAGCACTTTTAGCAGTTCCTCGTCTTGTCGTTGATGACGGTCAGCGATTGTATTTGCTGGATCTTCGACCATGTTTCGGTGTCTGGTAGTACCAGTTGTACTACTCTCCGCAGAATTCGCAAGTACATCCGGAACGATTTGTAGTTGCACATTCCCGGTCGTTTCCTCCACGACAATCTTCTGCCTCTTCGCTTGCAGTTTTCCACTGCCCCGGAGGTTGAAGTTTTTCGTTCTTGTTTGCGCGGACGTCACTGCGGGATTCGATAATTGGGACGTCGGAAAGATGTAGTTGCTGTGCAACAACTGCTGCGAGAGTTCTTCAGCCGTAGAAGAAGCCGCCGGCTCACTAGAAGTACTGGCACCTGTTGTCGTGGGTTCGCGCTGATTTTGCAGATGATTCCGATTGTTTGCTTCCACCGTAGTATCTTCCAGAGCGGAGAAGGCATTCGGTGTGGATTGTAGTTCTGAGAAATGCGGCTCCTGTGCATCTTCCAGCACATCATGCGCGTCGTGAGAGGTGGAGTCTCGTCCACCTGGCAAGCTGAGCGTCGTGTGGTCATCTACTACCCCAGTAGATGTAGATGGAGCTGCGGAGATTCCATTTTGTAGCGGCGGCGCAAGAACTTCTGCAACATCGTTGTTGAACCCGCCCTGGAGTTCCAAAAAAGTCTCTGCGTCAGGAACTTCCGCTACTGAAAACGCAGTTCCTGCTCCTTGTTCGTGCGAAGATTCTTCCGTTGCCACTGCTTCCTCTTGTGCGGGGTGGTGTTGTTGCAAAATGGAACTGTGTGACTCACGTGCTGCAGCTGGTGTGACGTCATTACTATGTTCGCCGTCCCGGGTAGAAGTTGCAGTATCTTGCGTGAGCACCGTTTTATCGTTGTCCTGGCTAGCAGGTTTCGTTTCGTAGCTCGTCCTGTCGCCTGCAAGCTGTTGAGCAGAAAATGACGTTGAACCGGATGTTGAGCCAGCAAGAACGCCGTCGTGTGGCGGCAGTTTTTCTTCCCTGGTTCCTTCTTCCAAGAATGAACTGGCAGCGCTGGCCCCCTTTTGTTTCTTCTTTTTCTTGTCGCCCTTCTTCTTAACCTTCTCCTCGACTTCTTTCACGACCTCCTTTACTTTGTCTTTCTTGCTGCTCTTTTTCTTCTTTTTTCCTTCATCCGCACTTTTGTCTTTCTTGCTTTTTTTGTTTTTTTTCCCTCCATCTCCGTCTTCCACATCCGCTGCGCCAGCATCTTCTACTTCCTCCGCCGGCTGCTCGTCTTCACTCCTGCCCTTCTTGCCCTTGTTTTTCTTCTTGTCTTTTTCACCCCTGCTGCCTTTTTTCTTCGGCTCGTCCACCTCGCCCGCTGCGACTCCTCCGTCCCCGTCCGGCTCTTCTATGGGATTCTCAACTGTTACATTCCCAACGGTTACACGAATATGTATATGCAAGCATAGCAAACGTCAAAGGGGGAGGCTGCACCTCTAGCATTACAAATTCCGCACAGATTCAGCCGCTGTTTCATCCTTCCTCGCAAATTTGTCATGCGAGGCAGCTTGCTCGTTTGGATCTTGATGGTAGTTCTGCATGACAAACCCCTGTAAAAAAGTTGAGAATGTAACGTTTGAGAACCCCATACCTTCACGAGCATTTTTGCTTTTTTTCTTCCGGCTGCTTTTCCGGGACACGGGCTCGGCATCTTCCTCTCCGCCACTTCCTCCGCCGTCCTCTGGTGGTAGTTCCTCATCATCTGCTGCTTCGACGGCACCGCCGGGCTGCTGCTTGTCCGGTTGATCTTGGCCCGACGGCGTCACAGGGGCTGCCTCTCCTGCCGGCGGTTCCCGTTGCTCCACTGCACTTGGTTCGGCCGGTGCCGCGGCAGCTGCTGATGGCGGCGCGGCTTCTGCACGGGCGGCAGCCGGCGCAGAATTGTCCCCGTCACCTTGTTCTTCCGACTGTTCCTCGTCCTATCAGAAGGAAAAATCCCCCCGCCCCATATCGAAACGGAAACTTCTGTTGCTGGATTTGTGTACACAAATCAGCTTTGTATTGCAGTGAGGCACTACAAGCAAAGCCTCAGCCTGCGTAGGGGTGTTTTGTTGTAGGCACTTAGCATGACAGAGGCCTGCCATTTACGTGAAACAGCATCACAAATCGCCTCCATAAGGCGGCGGAATCTCTGGGCTTGCCTTCTTGCAAGACAGATGTGATTTGTGACCTCAAATCCGCAACACAAATTTTTGGAAACATTCTTTTTCGATATGGGGAGGGGGGATTTTTCCTCTTAATACCTCCTTGGGCATACCAGCAGCCTTCGATCCCTTGCCCTTCCCGCCGCCTTTTGCGCCCGCTATGGTAGTGTCAGGACCGAAATCGACAAAGTTAAAATAATTTGTGATGCATAAAGCGGATACCATTTGGCGTCTAGTTTTCAATTGGCGCATGACAAATTTGGGCAGAACCGAAATCCAGTTTGTAATTCTGTTTGGGTAAGGTAGACGCCTTTTTTCATGCTACTTTAGCAGGTCTATTTCTACCCCTCAACAGGCTTACAATCTGCCTCCCTTCCCTTCTCTGCAAGACAGGCATTCTGTGGGTTGCATTTTATGCATCGCAAACTATTCCAACTTTGATGATTTCAATCCTGACGCCTTCATACCCGCCTTGGCGGTTGTATCCTTCTTCCCGGAGCCCCGCGCCGCTAGGCCGATCGCTCCTACGCCCAGCGCTGCCGTGCCCGCGACGGTGGCGACCTGGCCCACTTTGTCGTGCATATCCTCCTGCCCGTTCCAGGCGTCCAACACACCTTGAAAATTGTGATCGTCAGCGTTGTCCTCGTCCTGCCACCAATCGTATGCATTGCAAATATGTCTGGGTTTGGAAACTTGTGATGCTGGGTTGTGAATAGTGAATGCAGCTCTGTAATGCACAGCCAAGCATGTGAAATATTTGTGCGGCTTAGTGCTGCGTTTTTCCTATGACAATAAACTGCGTTTCTGCATGACCAGCAAAGGGTATCTTTTTGGACACGCATCACAAGTTCTTCAGTCTGTCATGCCAGACAAGCATGACAAAGCTCGCATCCTCCCAGGCCCAGACAACATTATATTTGCGATTGATAACTCGTGCGCGTTATCGATAGTCCAGACGTCGTTATTCCACCAGTCCGTGATTCCCTCGTAGACCTCGCCCGGCATGTGCTCTTTTAGATTCGTAGCGTCCATCGCAGCATCCCAGGCTTTTTCTCCGGCTGCGTCCCAGGCCTGCTCGATGTGGTTGTATACGTCGTCGCCGAAACCTCCGATATCGAAACTCTGCCGCGCTCCTTGCTTGGCCATCTGCTTCGCGCGCGCGACCTCCGCTAGTTGTTCCTTTGCCCTGTTTCTTTGTTCGCGGTTCATGATCCGGCGCTCCTGCGCAGTCGTTTTTTGTTCTCCCGCCTGGTGTTTTCCTTTCTTCTGCAATTTCTGCAGCTTCTGCTGCTGCTCGGACTTCTTACGCGTCGATTTTTCTTCTTGCTGTGCGGTTTCTGCTTTGGTGGAAGCTGTAGCCATCTGCTTTTGTTCGTTGAGGGTCACTATCAAATGTAAAAATGTCTGGGTCTGGAAGATTCTGAGACTTGTCATGCACGTTTTGCATGAGCCCTGATGTCTGTGATGCATGCCCTAGCATCACAGATTTTTTGAGGGCTTCTTGATGCCTATTCCGCATGACAAATGCCCTCCCCGCGTAGCAAGCATTACGCTCCCTTTGCTGCTCAAGCAATACAAATTTTTTTCGAATCCAGGGACAGCATCACAAGTTCCAACCTTCCAGACCCAGACATTTTTCCAGTTGATAGTCACTCTGTGCGCAGCTTCGTGCTGGTTCAACTTCGCGCGGTCGATTTTCGCTTCCGCTTCCCCGGTGCGTTGTTGTTCCGCTTGCTTGTGCTTGGCTGTGTCAACCAGAAGTTTTTCATTTTCCTCCTCCTTCTCCTGTAGTTCGACTTCCAGCACGGACGAGGTGGACGGGGGAGGAGTCTTGTTCAACATCTCAGCAGGTTGTACTAGCAAAGACGAATCCAGGACTGGATATGAGGTGGATGTTGAAGCGGGACCACGACGAGGACTCTTGTTCAGCTCAACAGCATGCTGTCCCGAAGAAGGTGGCGCGGGTGGTCCTCGTAGCTCCTCTACTACCCCGTCGTTGGAAGAACGACTGGCTGCTTCTCCTTCGCGGATTTGTTCTGCGGATGCGCGACAATTAACGAAAAATGCGTTCGGCAAGAGCAGAAGTAGGAAAAGCAACAGTTTCACCGAGGGAGATGTGTAGGAAAGTGCAGCCTGTCCTCTTCCATTTCCGGAGAAAGTGCAGTTCTCGTGGGGGGACATCCTTCGCAGGTCGAATTTTTTGTCAACGGGACTTGAGCACGGCGAATCGTCGGAAGGAGACGTTGCGGTGTTGCTACTGCAGTAGGCCTGCTCCTGCCCCGGCAAGAAATAACTCCCACGAAGAACGACGTTCATTTTTCTTTCCATCCCGCAGGCTTCCCCATCCGTCCTTTTTTTCTCACAAACTGATCGCCGCGGCTCGAAAAGGCGCTGTCGCACCGTCCCGCGAAGTGGGTCAAACATGGTGTGGTGTTAGTTTTTTTCACTTATTTACGGTTGAGTCTTATTGTTTGTAGAGATAATCCTGCAAGAGATGCAAGGATTTATTCCCGAAGTGGAAGAAACCTTTTGCCTCTATCAAGCTCGTTCTGCTTTCCGAGCATGCCACTAGCTGTTCTCTCTTGTGGTATTTTTTCTCCTCTTCCCATGGTGATCAGAATCGACGCATCATCATACATGCAGCAAGTTTCTTGTTTAACCAAATAGAGAAAATTATTCCCAACGAGAGATGAAGCTGAGGCACTTGTTCCCGCCCGAATCGTGAAGCTACAAATATCGACAATTGTTCGATCACGTCGCTCTGTGCTGGACGATGACCAGCTATTCGCTCTTTTTCTCTCTCCTCGACTTGTCGTTCTGTATGCGAAGCTTGCGATCGGCTATATTCCAATGACGAGAACCAACAGTTTAGAGCGATCGAACCACGACAACCATGTCAGTGACGCTTGTTCTACTCTAGGCTGTTGGCAAAGAATTCAGGAGTATCCATTCAACGATGTATGTCAAACAGTACCAGAAACGTTCCAGGCAGCTTTATTGTCTCCCTTCAAATTCTTCAACTCTGTCAGCTTTTCGAAAGTCCATAGTACTCACCTGTGCAGATGCATTTGCTGTATCAAATTCAAATCTACGTATCGCGTCTAATATCAATCCATCCCAGTCGCCCGGTGTGCTAGTCCACACGGAAATGTTGCCAAAAGCAGAAGGAGCAACAAAGAATGCAGAAGTATTCAGTATAATCAGAAGTGGTCATGATGACACTGCATGCCCTTTCTTTGAGGGGTTCTTGCGAGGGTAGAACAGTTAGAAGTTGAGCCTGATGAATCTCCTCGTCTATTGCGTTAGTTCAGTACGGAAATGAAGTAAGTACTTTACTTAAAACCATCACTTTATTTGATAGTGAAATTTTATTGCGCTCCTGTTTGAACTTGAAGTTGAATTTTGTTGCGTTATCAGCTGCAAGATGGGCAAAAGTTTCTACCAATCCCTAATCCCCACCAGCAGTGGCAAAATTTGTGAAAAGTAGTACAAGGTGATTCAAGGTGACAATAAATTTGTGAAAATTAGTACCAGCAGTGGCAAAAACAAATGATCCAAGGTGAAAAGTAGTACAAGGATGTTGATGCGCAAGAAGCCTTTTCAATCCACTACAGCTGCAGAAACTACTTTGCAGCTTGAGTTTCATACGCCGGATAAAGCAAAATATATCAAGTGCTGATCGCGATTCGATTGAGAGTTCTGTTTTGATATCAAGAAATGCGCAACGTTTGAATCTGACCTGATGTTTGTTGTAGCCTGAAAAAAAAAGAAAGCGCGAAACACGACGGCGCAGCCACCATAATTAAGTACAACCCCAGGCCGGTTTCACGAGCTGAGACCTTTGACAGAAAAAGCCAGCAATTTTCGAATGTAGCAATAATCTGAGACTGAGCACAGATTATTGCTGGCGAGCCAGCAAAAGTTCTGTCACCTCACGGTCTAAGCTCGCACCATACGACTGAGAAATAAGGTAGATGACGCTTGAATTTTATACAATATCTGCATCAGGAAGGAACTGAAACGCAAAGAAAAAAACCGTTGAAAAAAAAACGTCAATGCAGAAAAAAAAATTCTATCCGTTTCTGCACTTCCAGACGTCTTTCACTACTTCCCTTCCGCACCCCCGCCCTCCTCCGCAGTTTGCTCTCCACCCTGCGCTGACAGCTGTTGGTCTTTCTGCAAGCACAAAGCCTTTTCCACTGGGAAGAACGACAGGTTATGAATTGCAAAAGCACCGCACTAGTAGTAAAAATTTTTTGCAGTCACGCATGTACAAATCTTTGTCTTAAGAGGTATATCCGCATTACAAGTTTCAACTGTAATGCTGAGGTAATTATTTGTAATGCAATTTATACTAAGTACGATGCTTTTGCAATGCATATAAGTCATCAGTCGACAGCATTTTGTACACTGTTTGCTCTGGGCCGGTGAACGTCGTGGGGTCTTTCGAAAGGACGTAGAACAGGAAAAACAAGTAGTCCCACAGATTGTGTTCGTGTTTGATGTGTTCCTCGAAGGTCTGTGTTTGTGTTGTACTAGAGGAACTCCTCTTGTTGTTTTGCTTGTTACTCGTGATACCACTGTCCACGCTGGAAGAAGTAGCCTTGGCCTCCTTCATCGCTCGAATTTCCCGGAGTCGATGCTCGATTTCGCCGTGCGAAATGTTGCAGATGAAGCAGTAGTTCTGTAGGTGGTCCTGTCGGCTGTTCGTTTCGTCGCGCAGAGCGCCAAAAGTGTCGATGATGATACCGAAGATAATGTTCATCAGAACCACTTCGATGATCACGTAGAACAACACGTCAAATGCGAAGCGGTTGTGAAACTCGTCGGCATTGGAAATGGGCAGCGTCGGGCCGGGCACCATAATGTATCCAACGAAGAAAGTGTTAAGTACAGTTACACACTTGTTGTGAATTCCGCAACACAAATTTCCTCTGCATGAGAGAGAAAACTTGCAATGCAGAAAACATATAGGGAAAACACGTATGAAGCAACGCTCTTATGCATATCCGGCATGACAAACGTGTCTGTCTTGCATGGCCTGCAACACAATGTGTGACTGTAACACTTACACTTTTTTTCTTGCATATAATGTCGTAGGTTGTCACGAAAAACCAGGACAGCATCTCCGGCGTATCAACTGCAAAAATCCCTGGATGTCTGGAAGAGTCAAGGCTTGTCATGCACATTTTGCCTGACCCGTGAGGTCTGTGATGCTGGCGCTAGCATCACTGATTTTTTGAGAGCTTCTTGATGCTAATTACGCATGAGAAATGCAAGCCCTCTCCGCGTGCCAAGAACTGACTCCTGATGCTGCTCATGCAACACAGATCGTTTTAGAATCCGCAGACAGCATTACAAGTTCCACTCTTCCAGACCCAGGCATATTTGCAATCCATACGGCGCGTTGCTGGCCCAATTAGAAGATGACTCGGACCCGGAACTACTTGTCATGCTCGAGCTGCTACCGCCGCCTGTTGTTCCTGCAGTTCCCATCAGCTGCCGCGCTGCTGCTGCACTACTATGCGTATATTCATTGTTAACCGTCGCGACAGCGTTGCTTGTCGCTGGCGGAGCAGCCAAAACCGCAGAAGAACCCTTCCCACCCGCTACTTGCGGCAACGTCCCTTTGCCGCCGATACTACTCGCCGACGCGGTAGTGGCGGCTGCGCTTCCACTTGAGGTGGTAGCTGTTCCAAACCCCATCGCCCCGTCTGCGTCCGGAGACGAAATCGAGAACGCGAGATATTCCGTGCCGAACCCCAGCGGACTGTAGGCGGTCAGGGCGAAGGCGTAGAGCACGATGGCCATCATCAACCCCGTGAACATCAATTGCTTCATGGGGTTTAACACCGCCCGGAACAGGTTCCGCATCACCTCGTGCGTGAAAAACACGTCGAAGAGCATGAAGGCGTAGTAGTGCAGCCCCCTTTGCGGATCGTTCTATCGCAAGAAAAAATTGTTTCACTGTGAACTTGTAATGCAGAAAATTAAAGACGGAACTATTTGTCTTGCTAGACCACCTGCAAGACATTGGATTTTCAAGCATCTCCCTTGGCAAGCGCGCATGACAAATTTTTAGCGTCATGTGCAACAAACTTGTGATGCAGATCTTGCAAAATCATCACAATGAAACAGCTTTTTCATGGGACACGTTCGTGGTCAGCGCCAATATTGACAGAATGAACAACACCAGCGCCCGCAACAGCGGTTCCTGCTTCGTTATCGTGATCAGGGACTTGACAAAAATCTTCGGAGAGTTGGTCGCGAACGTGCCGGACTTTTTCTTCTCACTCAGCTCCTATGAAAGTGCACAACTCCCCCTCCCCCTCATTTGTATTGCATGAACAGCATTACAAGCGTCAACAAGGATACAGGTTTTGCATGACAAATTTGGACAGGAGTGTAGTGCCATTTGAATTGCCAGAACTTGTCATGCAGACAGTGCCAAGAGGCAAGGCGTTAATTAGCTATTTTGCATGATAAATGAGGGGGAGGGGAAGTTGTGTATTGTCATACCTCCCAGTAGTTCGCGAGAAGCGCCAAGAAAATCGCGAGAAAGGCGAACGTGATGGCGTGCGAGCCGACCAAGTTGTTTCCGACCAGAATTGCGAGGATGATGGCCGAAAGGATTTGAAAAATAGAGTGGAAAAACTTGCCATAAGAGATTCCGGCCGTCATTGAATTTTGCTTTCTTCTGGACGAGGCAGAAGCAACTCCTGAGTTTGTCTCTTCGCACCACTTCTCCGTCTCCTCGTCGAACGCAATCGGAAAGTACAGCATCGCCCGAATAGACAGTCGCATGCCGGCGATCAAAAGACTCAGGAACCCGAGGTCCCGGACGATTTTATCCGGAAAAAGCGTCACCTCGAAGGGCTCGGACTCAAATGCGCTGTAGTGGTGGTAGTGGTTATCGCAAGAAAAAAGTGTTACAGTTACACATTGTCATGCAAGACTAGCAACAGAGACAACCTTTCTCATGCAGGAAATGCTTCGAAGCCTCGTTTCCTTCCTGTTTTCCCTTATGATCTTCGCATTACAAGTTTTCTCTGCCACACAGAGAAAATTTGTGATGCAGAAACTCCAACAAATGTGTAACTGTAACACTTTTTTCTCGTGATAGTGGTGCTCAGCCCCCGAACCAAAAAAAAGCGACCCGAAAAACCCGGTGTTTTCTGCGTACGCTTCTTCTTTCTCGCTCAACCTCGGTTCCGCGCGCACGAAGGACTTCGGGAAGAGAAGGGAAAAGAAGTTATCCACAATCACACCCGGTTATGCATTGCAAATGTATGATCTGGGTCTGGAGACGTGTGATGCTAATTTAGGATTTGTGGGGAAACTGCATTAGGAAGCCACGCGTGACAAGGTTCTGGGCTCCTTCGTGTTTCGCTTTCCGCATGACAAACTACATTTTTGTCTGACAGGCAAGAGGTTCTTTTCCTGCTCACGCATTACAGATTCAAGATTCATGTGAGACAAGCATGACAAACTTGCACTCTTCCAGACCCAGACATATTTGCAATGCATATCGGTAAGTGAAACTGGTACGTCACTGGTGCGTTGCTGTATCCTCTTGTCCGGTTTAACGTGCAGATCAAAACTAAGTTGATCACTAACGCGATCATCAAGCTCAGCCAGATCAGGAATTGCAGATTTTTCTGTTCGTTCCGGAAGAAGAAGTGTAACGGGTGGAAGTGTAAAAAATCCGCCGGCAATGACATCACCGGTAGGGGAATGTCCACCTTCAACGTCGAAAGCGACTGGGTAGCCTGGCATTCCCGCAGCACCCGTTTTCCGAAGTCGCACAGAAATTGCAGCTTCGTCTGCGGGTTCGTCACTGGGACGGAAGTGAGGAGCTCTCTCTTCGTAGATTGCAACGCGTACTTGCAAGCAAGGGGCTTGACGAAGAAGAGCCGGGAAATTTTGTTGTCCGCGTTTGAGAGACACACTTCGACTCCCGCGGTGAGGGAGAAGAAAAAATCATACGCCGTGTCGTAAAGCAAATCTATCGCGGTCGAAGAGGTGATTGCGGTTCCAGTTGCACCAGGAATAACCTCGTTGTCGCTACTAGTAGTTGAGGTCCCCGTTGGCGCCACCGCGGCTAAGAAGTGTTCCGTCATCGGCTCTCGGTGGGATCCATCATGCAATGCAAATATCACTGCGTCTGGAGACTTGTGTTGCTGACACTGGCGTTGCAGATTGACTACTTGTAGAGCATAACAGCATGAGAAGTTTATATTTTTCGTAGATTGTTGTAATTGCGCAGTCATTGTCTTCATTCAGGAAACGCACGAGAAACTGACTTCTTGCAGCACGACAACAAATTGGCCCATCGTTTTCATGCATGACAGATCTTCCTGTCCTCTAGCTCTGGCATGACAAATCCAGATCCAGCAATATTTGCGATGCATATCCGATTCCAATGTACGTATTGGCGATCAGGTCCATGTATCAACTGTAAAAATGTCTGGGTCTGGAAGATCGCGAGATTTGTCATGCTTGTCTGGCATGACCAAAAAGTTTGTGATGCGTGCCCAAGACGAGACCCTTTTGCCTGTCATGCAAAGGCGAGGTTTGTCATGCGAAAAACGCAACCCAAAGAAGCGCAGATATTTCTCATGCTGCCTGTGCATTACAGAGCATTCACTATTCCCAACGCAGCATTACAAGTTTCCAGACCCAGACATTTTTGCAGTTGATACCATGTTCCGGAGCAAAATCACCAAGTCCAATATTGTGAGGAAAACTCCCCCCCCATATCAGAAAGGAAATCTGTGATGCTGTATTTGCATACACAAGCCGCGTTGTAGTGCTAGAAGGCCAAGAGACGCAGTTGCGGCCTCGCTTGCAGGTAGTCTGTTATGCTGTTTTGCGCTTCCAGTTGCTCCCTGTCATGCTGAAGATGCAAGGGCTTCCAACCCCAGCCAGTACCACAGTCCGCATCTCTTCGGTTCTAGCATGGCAACGTGATTTGTCATCACAAACTATGCTACACAAATCCCCGTTTTGACATAGGGAGGGGAGATTTTTCATTTTGCTATCCAACGCCTCGCCAATGGACGTGCGCAGATCGTCATCGGAGGAGAAGGAGAGCTCCCCGTATATACATTGCAAATATGTCTGGGTCTGGATGAAACTTGTCATGCTAATGTTCGAATGAAACGGACACTGTATGGCGGAGCCGCGCATGACAGGTTTCTGGGTAGCAGCTACGTCTAGCGTTAATCGCATGACAAATGTCCTTTTTGCATGGCAAACACGTGGCGCTGTAGCGCAACAAACATGACAGACTTTTGTGCATTGCCGGCCGAGCATGACAAGTTTGCATTGTTCCAGACCCAGACATTTTCGCAGTTGATACAGTAGGCTTTCTTGCACTTCTCCACCTTCCACTTAACCAAGTCCAGGAGCTCTTCCTGGGTAGAAGTGGACGATGAAGAAGAGGATGCAACGCTGCTCGCGCTACTTGCCATGCTGACCTGCAACAGGTCTTCCAGCAAATTTCCGTCGTAGTCGCAGTTTTCTTGCAGAAATTTCACGTAGTGAAAGAAGATCCGCTTTTTCACCGTGATCGGATCCATATCAAATGCAAAAGTGTCTGGGTCTGGAACAAAGCAACTTGTCATGCCAAATCTAAATCATGTAAAAATCTGTGTTGCGTGATTACCCAAAGCTGTCTACTTTTGATCTAATCGAGAGGCAGTTTCTCATGCAGGATAAGCATGATAGAACTCTCACAGAGTCTGTCATGCTATGTCCTACATACCAGACCTCATCGGTCATGGAAAACCCGCATGACAAACCTGGCAATCTTTCAGACCCAGACATTTTTGCAGTTGATAATCCAACCGGATCGCCAAGATCCGGACGGACACCGCGTCCGTCCGGATTTCTATATCAAATGTAAAAATGTCTGGGTCTGGAAGATTCTAAACTTGTGATGCTGTCTCTGCATTCTAAAAAAATCTGTACTGCATGATCAGCAAGAGGGGTCCAGTTTGTGCTACATGGAGAGGGCATCTCTCATGCGGGATAGGCATCAGAAAGCCCACTAAAAATCTGTGATGCCAGGTCATCCATTACAGGCGTCCCGGGTCATGTAAAATCTGCATGACAAGTGTGGCATTCTTCCAGACCCAGACACTTTTGCGTTTGATAATCTAGCAGCGCGTTTAGAAGGGTCGCTGCGGACTGCTTGAGCATCAAAACGATCTCCGCTTCCGGTAATGGGCTGTCAACAGTGTATCAAAGTGAAAAAAGCCCCCACCCCATACTCAAAAGAGAACCTGCGTTGCCGGATTTGTGTACACAAACGCAAGCCGTATAGCAAGAAGAGGCAATCCACCGCGCCCCGACCTGTCCCGAGCCTGAAGAATGAAGAAGAGGCAATCCGGCGCGCCCCGAACCGCCCCGAACCTGAAGAAGAGACAAGCCGGCGCGCCCCGAACCGCCCGGAACCTGGAGAGGAGGCAATCCGACGCGCCCCGAACCGCCACGAACCTGGAGCAGAGGCAATCCGGCGCGCCCCGAACCGCCCCGAACCTCAAGCAGTGGCAATCTGGCGCGCCCCGCACCGCCCCGAACCTCAAGAAGAGGCAAGCCGGCGCGCCCCGAACTCAGACAAGCGCGAAGCCGGGCCGCCCCGAACTGCCTCGAACCTGAAGAAGAGGCAAGCCGGCGCGCCGCGCCCGTGCGCGCGTGCCAACTAAAAAAGACACGCACACCATAGCCGCTGGCGTCCTCGATTTCGTGCGCGCGCGCATAAAAGACTGGCTGCACACTCCGCCGCATGGGTACCGTTTGCCTTTTACGCAAGACAGAGCTGATTTGTGGTCACAACTCATTTGTGGTCACAAATCAGCATCACAAAATTCTTTTCGATATGGGGAGGGGAGATTTTTCCTCACAATACAGTGTCTTGGATTTCAGGCAGGATTGAGCAGGTGAAAAGGTCGGATTTTGTTATCGCCGCGACCAGTTGCATTGTAGATGCCCCCTCCGCATCGTCCTCTTCGTTAATATTTGTCGTGTTTCTTTTCTTCTTCTTACTCGAAGTTGCAAACTTTCCAGCACTTCCGTCGTAGTAAAAATCCTGCCCTTCTTTCTCCTCCTTGCTCACGACGTCTAAAAACGTGAACCGCGAGTTCAAAATTCGGTCCAAAGTTTCTACCAACCCGCCGTGGAACAGGATCTGCTCCTGATTCGCCGAACACGGGCCCTGGGACAGCTCGACGAGGAAGTCCAAGGACTGCTGCAGGTTCTGCGCGGTTAGGACGTCCATCAAATAGATTTCCACGTTTGCGGAGGTGGTTGCTTTCTTCTTCCCAGATGTTCCACTAGAAGTTGTTGTACCTGGATTATTGTTCCCTGCACCCCCCACGCCGTGCCCGACCATTTTGCACACCAAATCGCAGCAGGTCTGGATGATTGGAATCGACTCACTGTTGTCCGCCTGCTCCCGGAGGTATTCCTGCATCCAGGAGTTGTGCCCTTCGCATAACAACTGCAAAAACCGCTGGCACTTGATCAACAACTCCATTGCTTGGTTGATGGTGTAGATGAAGGTTTTGTCGCCGATGCGCAACGTCTCCATCGTCTCTAATTCGTTGAACAACCGTTGTTTGATCAACTTAAACTCCTTATCCAATGCAAAAATGTCTGGGTCTGGAAGAATGCAACTTGTAATGCTAGCTCTCCATACCTAGGAAATCTGTATTGCATAGCCAACAAAAGTCGCAGCCTCTTTTGGATACGCAAAAACGCAGTTGCTCATGCGGCTTTCCTATGCGAAAGCGTTCTGAAAAGTTGTCATGCTGTGTTGCATTCGGAACCGTTTCCATCATCCACATTTTAGCATCACAAGCTTCCAGACCCAGACATGTTTGCAATCCATACTCCTTCAACCGATGCAAAACCCGGTTGAAAATCCGGTGCATGTTATCGTACGAAAAGACTGTCTCAATCTCAAATCTTTGCAGACTCAGCAATACAAATTTGCTCAGCATGACAAGGAAAACCTGTGCTGCGCAATATGCAAAAGAAAACACGTAGAGAGTGCCCTTTTCTTGCATGTCGAGCATGACAAAAAAACTGTCTCAAGGAATTTCCGCATTACAAATTGAGACTAAGACACTTTTTCCTTGCGATACATGTTGCGGAAAAAGACCACATCGTCGGAGGATTCAAAGTACTCCTGAAACCCGTTCTGCACGGCTCTATTCCCTCCGTCTAGTAAAGCGATGGAAAGCTGCAGAGCGTTCAAATACACGTCATACGGTTATGACATTACACAACTCCCCCTCCCCCTCATTTGTCATGCAAAACGCCAAATCCACGCCTTGCTGTTTGGCACCAAATGCATGACCACACGTTCGCGATGCCCAAACCGCATTACAGTCCGTACGCTGATTTGTCATGCGACAGCCACATTTGTGCCATTGATTGTGATGCCGGTTATGGTACACACACGAGGGGGAGGGGGAGTTGTGCATTCTCATAACGGTGCGTGGGAATCGAGAACCGAGGCGGCGAATTTCACGCCGTTTTGCTGGAGAATTTCGTTTTGCCTCGCCGCGTTCGGTTCTGCCGGGTTGGAGTCGGTGCTGGTGCTATCGCCACCTGCTTGCTCTACACCGTCTGTACCACTCCCGTCAGAGTCCGTCAGCCACTTATCAGAAGGAAAAATCCACCCTCCCCATATTGAAAACGCATCCGTCTGTGAATTTGTAATGCAGATTTGTGGCTACGAATCCTGTCCGTCTTGCAAGAAGGCAAGCCCAGAGAGTCCGCCGCATTATGCGGGCGGTTTGTGATGCTGTTGGGCTTACAGCATCAACCTCTGTCATGCTAGTCGCCTACGTCGAAACCTCTCGACTCAGGCTCGGCATATGCCTGCAGTCCTCTCCAGCACGACAGACCTTATTTGCGTACGCAAATCCAGCATCAGAAACTTCGTTTCGATATGGGGAGGGGGGATTTTTCTCTTTGATACCACTGGGTTGTCAACTTCAACACCTCATCCACCAATTCCCACCGGCATAACTGTATCGCAAGAAAAAACTGTTTCACTGTGAACTTGTGATGCAGAAAGTAGATCGCAGAACTGTGTGTCATGCTACACATGCAAGACGATGGATTTCTAGCTGTGTTTTCCCTTACGATCCCCGCATGACAGATTTTTAGTGTCATGCGTAACAAACTTGTGATGCAGATTTCGCACAACCACCACAGTGAAACAGTTTTTTCGTGGGATAAACTGGACATTAGAAATGCTGTGGGTGATCAGAGTCCCCAAATACTTCTCGTAGTCGTAGCTGCTGGACCCACTCGCCTGTATAGCCCGCTGGACCGCTTCGTGGGCTTTGATTTCCGCGATAAACGCTATAAACGTGCACAACCCCCCCTCCCCCTCATTTGGATGGCATCCGTAGCAACACAAGTCCTGGCACAGATGCAGCTTTTGCATGACAAACTTGCGACTGCTTGTACGTAGTGCTGTTTCGGCTTCGGGAATCTGTCATGCAAGCAATGCCACAGGGCAAAGGGTGGATTTGGTATTTTGCATGACAAATGAGGGGAAGGGGGAGTTGTGCACTGTCATAAATGCGCGAAACTTTGTCGTCATCAGAGTGGACTGCTCAACCACCGACGGCTGTGCTCCTGCATCAGCCGATAAGCCGGAATTATCTGCGCCACCTTGTCCGTCCTGTTGTTCCCCGATGCTCTGCAGCGTTGCGGTTTCCAACAACGCCTGCAGCTGCAACACCTTCGCACTGAAGTCCGTGACCGACGCGGCGGCCTGCGCGACAATCTTCTCTTCTGTCGTTGTTTTCGACAAAGCGAGGCTTTATCAAATGCGAAAGCGTCTGGGTCTGGAAGATTGCCACGTTTGTCATGCATATTTTGAATGACCCATGATGTCTGTGATGCATGCTCTAGCATGGCAGATTTTCAGAGGGCTTTGTGATGCTTCAACCGCATGAGAAATGCCCTCCCCGTGTAGCGCAAACTGAACTCCCTTTGCTAGTCATGCAATACAAATTTTTTTGGAACCCAAAGACAGCATCACAAGTTGCAACCTTCCAGACCCACACATTTTTACAGTTGATAGGTTTATATCGCGAAAGGATTGCACCGACGCCACCGCCCGCTGCTCCAGGATTTGCCGTATGAATTGCAAAAGTGTCTGGGTCTGGAAACTTGTGATGCTGAGTGGCGTATCATGAGGAGGCCACAAGTGCTCGCTCAGCATGACAAGTTTCTGAGCTTCTAGGTGTTGCCTATTCTGCATGACAAACTGCGTTTCTGCATGACATAGAAATGGCGCTCTTGGGTAACGTGCATGACAGATTTGAGCCTCATGCCAGACAAGCATGACAAACATGCACTCTTCCAGACCCAGACGTTTTTACATTTGATATGCCGGTAGAAAACCGATTGCTCCACTTGGCGCGACCGCTTGGCCGGTTTGGTGGTTGATGGACCTCCCAAGTTGTTTATCTGCGCAAGAGCCGCCGGTTGAGATAAATTGCCGGCACTTCCTGCTACCATCAGCCCCAGCTCTTGTTCCAAACCGTCCTCGTCTGCCGGGTGTAAAATGGTCAACACATTCTGGATCTCCAACACAGTGGAATACACCTCCGGAAACTCCTGTTTCAGAACCGACGCCACTTTGTTCTTCACAGACAGTTGATATCCTCCAGCCCTACTATCAAAAGGAAAAATCCCCCCTCCCCATTTATCAAAACGGAAATCTGTGATGCGGGACTCGTATACACAAATCAAATCTGTCTTGCAGTAGATGACTGCACGCAGATCGCTAGGCTAGGAAGGGGCCGCTCGGTGTAGGCGCCTAGCATAGCAGACGTCTGCCCTGTAGGCCTTAGAGCATGACAAATCTCGCGCATAACGCGGCGGCCTCTCTGCGTTTGCCTTCCTGCAAGACAGACAGGATTTGTGGTCACAAATCTGCATCACAAATTTTCAGACGGATACGTTTTTAATATGGGGACGGGGGATTTTTCCTTGCAATATCTACTTCCGCCACCTGTAGTCCCACCTTTCCGCCCAACCACGTCCATGAAGGGTTTGATTAGGTGAAAGCAGATTTTCTGCACCGGGAGTTCGAAAACCGATCCGCGAAGTAGTTTTCCACTATTCAAATCCACCGCGTACTTGTTTTTCCGGTAGATGTACTCGAGAAATGTGTTCAAAAAGGAAAAACACTGCGCAAAGTACTCCTTCGCCTGAAATGACAACTCCAGCTTCGCGGCCGGCTGCAGCCTCTGCTCCAATTTCGTCATGGTGATCCGAACCTGCTCGGGGATCGCCGTGCACGGCATCCGCTCGTTGTTCGCTAGATTGATGGTTTTGCTATCAATGAAGTCGGAGACTGTGGTGTCTAAGTACACCAAAAACTCCTCCAAATCCCGAATAACGTAGTCGACTACCGCGAAAATCAAATTCGTGTTCTCCTTCTCGGAAGCAGTACTTCTACCTTGAGGGTCTTGTGTCGTGGAGGAAGCGTCTTTATTCATCCCGGTCGCCGAAGATGTTGTTGATGAGCTACTTTTCGCGTTCAACAACGTCTCATCGTCCCGGACTTCGCAGTCGTAGTACGCTTGCTGGAGGCAATACAGCTGAGTCTGTTTCAGCTCCAAGCAAATCGGAATCACCGGCGACGCAGGATCCTCTTCGACTGTGGAAAACAGAAACTGGGACAAGCACACGAAGTCCAACAAAATCACGTTCGCAGGAAGCAACGCGTGGACCAGAGTTTCGTGCAGGGAGTCTCTGCCCAGGGAGAGCTTCCCGATCAGTTTCAAAAACTCGAGGTAGTACAGAATCCGTGTCGTCGCGGCTGCACTGTTGTTCGTCGAGTTACCACCTCCGGAAGATGTAGGTGATTGTTGCAGCATCAGCGACCGTTGCACCATTCCCACCCCAGCGGCGGCAGCGTTCGTTCCTTGTGCCTGTTGTAACGTCTGACCGTTCACAAAAGCCAAAACGTCGTCCTGGATTTGCAACACTCTGTCGGTGTTCGCCTGCTTCTTCCCGTAGACCTCTGGTAACAGCGCAGAAGTGTTTGTCATTGTTGTTTTTGAAGAAGTTGCACTACTCCCAGAAGTACTAGATGTTGGCGGTATCTCCGCCCGTAGTAGATCCAACAGAACCCTTTTCGCCAGCGGCAAGGGCGCGTCGTGCACCACCACCATGTTCTGTAACACCTTCAGCCCGATGAAATTCCGGCGTTTCTTGCACGACAGTTCCAATAACGGCGACATTAAAGATTCAAACGTCTTCGCCCCGCTGGTCGCTAGTTGTGACGCAATCTGCTCGTTATTCGAAAACATCTGCTCTAAAACAAACTCGACAGAGCAAGAATCCGGCACTGCTATCTGCGATGTTAATTCATCTAAAAACTCGAACAGCTCGAGTTGGTTCGCCGTGTGTTTCCTGACCGATTGCGCGAGTAACTGGCAAGCCAACGTCGTGATGGAATTCGCGGCAAGCACGGCGGTGGTTGGAAAAGTCCCATATAAAATGCAAATATCATGTCTGGGTCTGGAAACCTGTGATGCTAAAATGTGGATGACGGAACTACTTCCGAATGCAGCCCAGCATGAGAACATTCTAGAGCGCTTTCTCATACGCAATCCACATCAGAAACTGCCTTTTTGCATGACACAGTGGCTGCGACCTTATTTGTTGGCTCTGCAATACAGATTTTGCAGGAATGTAAAGCTAGCATTACAAGTTCCACTTTTCTAGACCCAGACGTGTTTGCATTTGATATCCCCGACGTGTTGACCACCGCTTGCTGCTGTTCTAACAGCCAGTTGATGAGAATTCTCCGAAGGCCCAACGCGTATGACAGTGCACAGCTCCCCCTCCCCCTTATTTGTATAGCATGAACGGCAATACAAGCATCAGCAAGAGTGCTGCTTTTGCATGACAAATTTACACTGGGGCGTAGTGCTATTTGGGCCAATAGAATTTGTCATGCAAGCAGTGCCATGATGCAGTGACTGGGTTCGGGGTTTTGCATGACAAATGAAGGGGAGGGGTAGTTGTGCACTTTCATAACGCGCGGAAAATATCCTGGAACGGCGCGTCGGGCTCACTGCTGTCGCAGATCTTCTGTAAGTTCTGCTTGCTAGAAGCGCCACCAGCTCCCTGTAGAATATCAACCGTCGCTTCTGCGACGGTGGCTCCTCTACCACGCTTCACCACGCGACCGTATTCATCGATAAAAAGCGTCAAACTGCAAAGTTGCCTATCAACTGCAAATATGTCTGGGGCTGGAAACTTGTGATGCTGGGTGGCATATCATGAGGAGGCCGCAAGTGCTGTCTCCGCATGACAAGTTTCTGCGCTTCTAGGTGTTGCCTATTCTGCATGACAAACTGCGTTTTTGCACGACAGAGAGTGGGGCTCTTGGGTAACGTGCATGACAGATTTAAGACTCATGCAAGACAAGCATGACAAATATGCATTCTTCCAGACCCAGACTACATTTTTGCATTTGATATTGCCGCAAGTCCGTTAATATCGTTGCCGTCCTTGCAAATGCCTTCTTGCTGTCGATCGCCAACGCCCACTTCTCAAACCCGGAGAGGTAGGCTTGGAGTTCCTGTGTTTGTTGCTTGATCTGTTCGAACAGGTGCCCGTCGGACTGGAGGTAGAGGAGTTGTAAATCATTCTCCGCGGTGGTTAAACAGGTTTCTAATCTCGTCGTGTATTGGAAGAGCAGCGTCATACACGCGTTGGGCAACGTGTTTATTGTTTCTGCCGATGAGCCAGCACCAGATCCGGCACTTCTACCTGTAGACGACAATGATGATGATGACGCCGCCACAGAAAACAACTCCAGAATTCTCGTCGCAAAGTCCGCACCTTTGAACCGTGCGAAATCGACGTCGAAGCCCAGAAATTCCTCCTCAAACTGCGAAAAATCTCTTAACACCTCCACGGCGATTTTTGTCGTTAATATCGATTTCTGCAGCTCCGTGTCCGTGCAGCAGGGAGAAATCATGTTCGATCTTTTCCCCCCTTCGCCGACGAAGAGAAATTGACTCGGTTGGGATTCATCCACCACACAGTAGTACTTCAGGAAAATCTGGACCAAGCGGGTAACCACGGAATCCACAGCCAGATTGTGGATCACGTCCAGACAATGCAGCGCGGCGGACTTGACATTATCGTGGTTGTTGGTGGTCGCTGCGGAAGTGGTCGCTTCATCTAAACTTTGACCGCCGCGGCCCAGGGCTTGCGACTGACGTTCTGGTTCGTTTCCAGTACCCCCATCGCGGTCGACAAGCTGCAGGAGCAGAGTTTTGTAGTCCATCACCTGCTTCTCATTTGTGTAAAATCCGTACTGGAGGAGGAGGCTAAGCTGCTTCAAGTATTCTACGGTTAGCAGGTTATTCTGGTACGCATCAGTTGTATTAGCGCCCGGTAGAAGTTCCGCAGCAGTCGCGGATGTTGTTGTCGCGCTGTTCCTGATCAAATGCCGGCGGATGCACTTTTCCAGCAACTTGAACTTGTTCGTTCCGACGGCAGTTGATGTTTGTTGCTGTCCAGATGTGGAGGAAAACCCGTCCGGAAACAGCGCCTTCAAGTTTTCACTTTCACTCGTTACCGCTTTGGGCAAGAGAAAATTGCTACTCTCCGGTGTAGTTGAATTTTTCCCGGCTGATGTTGTTTCGTCGTTAAACAACGTTACCATCTCGACATCCTCTTGCTCCTCTAATAGCGGTTGATACGCTTTTATCCAAGAAAAAAACTGTGTTAGTGTAACTATCTTTGGCTGACAGCATTACAAATTTGCTATACATGACAGAGAAAACCTGTCATGCGTGGCTTGTAAGGGAAAACACACATGAAAAGAGAACTTCATGGCTGTCTCGCATGACAGGTGTAAGTCTGTTGCATGTTCTGCATTACAGATTTACACTTACACAGTTTTTTTCTTGCATAGCTTTACTCTTAAAAGACGCTTTCAAAGAACTCCCGATGAATCCTCTAGGAGAGGAAAGTTGCGCCATTTCCCCCGCGGCATAGCAATTCGTCGTGTCACAAATCGCATTGCAAACTCCAGATTTGTTCGAATTCGGTAGTTGCGGGAACTTCTGCGAGTCTAACACCCGAACTTCCACCGGCGGTTCTAAATTCACGTGCAACAAATGGTCCACGAACATGTTCGTCAAGAGCCGGCAAATCGCTGCTTGAAACGACTTCGGAAACGCGAGATAGTTACTGGTGGAAGAACTATTATTTCCAGCAAGACTCATTAACGTATTCGATCCGCCGGTAAAGCTTCTCCCCGCAACTGTAGCCGCACAATTCTCGGACGCGAGAACGGTATCGTACGAAAAAAGTGTTTCACTGTAAGGATTTTGCAGGTTCTGCATCACAAGTTTGTTCTACATGACAGAGAAAATTTGCCATGCGAGGTTGTTCCTAAGGGAAATAAGCACAGGTATAAAATCCACTGTCTTGCATGTGTAGCAAGACAAACACTTGTGAGATGCATTTTCTGCATTACAAGTTTACAGCGAAGCAGTTTTTTCTGGCGGTAAACGGCGATGAGCAGAGAGTACGTCATTCCAGCAGTGGACCTCAAGTATCAAAAGGAAAAATCCCCCCTCCCCGTATTGACAGGGTATGTTTTCGAAAATTTCTGTTGCTGATTTGTGACCACCAGTCGCGTCTGTCTTGCGAGAAGGCAACGCCAGAGGCTCCGCCGCATTATGCCGGCGGTTTGTGATGCTGTTGGGCCTACAACACGGACGCTCCCCATGCTGAGCGCCCAGGCCAAAACCTCTCTACTCAGGCTTGCTATGCGCCTCCAGTCCTCTCCAGCAAGACAGCTCTCATTTGTGTACGCAAATCCAGCATCAGAAACTTCGTTTCGATATGAGGAGGGGGGATGTTTCCTTTTGATATCAAGGTTTCAAACGCGATGGCCGACCGGTTCCTCGCTAGTTCCGCGAAGAGCTCTATCTGCGCCGTAATGTAGTTGGCCAGAACCTTCCTCGCTTCGGCTGCAGCGGATGGTTTAGAAGTAGTTTGTTCTCCTGCAGTTGTTAATAATTCCGCATCTTCACCAGAAGACCAGTCCTGGAAAACGTCTTTCAGTAAAACAAACGATTTCTGGTTACTTGGGTAGAAATTCAGCTCCATGACCTCCGTATGCAGTGCAAAAGTATCGTACTCGTATAAATGCATTACAAATTTCCTCAGCGTGAGAAATAAAATTTGTAATGCGGATTCACCTTAAAAAAAAGATTTGTAATGCATGATTGCAATACGAGGACGATACTTTTGCACAGGATACTCCGGCCGGGAAAAGAAGTACTTGGAATCAGTCGACCAAGTGTCTTATGCATGGCAAATATGTCTGGGTCTGGAAGGTTGCAACTTGTGGTGCGCGTTCCAGATCACACAAAAATCTGTCTTGCACAAACAGCAAAAGCTGTGTATTGTTGGCAATGGTGAGAGCGAATTTCTCATGCAGAGTAGGCATCGTGAAGCCCTCGAAGAACCTGTGACGCTGGTCCTGCATGCCAGACGCTCTGGGTCATGCCAAAGCTGCATCACAAACCCCTGTATTCTTCCAGACCCAGACATATTTGCATTTGATATGTCTGTCACTTTACTTGGGAAGCTCCACGTGACGAGAATTTCACCGGATGCTTCGTCCTGTTTCAAGGTGACTAAAGTTGTACTCGATGATGAACTCCCGCTGGCTTGCTTCTTTGCATTTGAGGCAGTTAAGGATGTTCTTTGCGCCGCACCAGCGGTATTTATTTTCCCTTCGTCAAAGAACGCCTTTAAAACCAAGTGCTGCAGCTGCTTGTTTCCCTTCGCATTTTCGCCAGTGTTCAGCTTCTTCAGACACTCCGTGACAAACTTCAAGAGCCAGATATCGGAAGGCCCGAGTTTCTGGATCAGCTCCGTGATTTGCAAGAGCGTTTTCTCGTTCAGAATCGCCGTTGGGTCGACGGCTGAGGAGGAGGAAAGCCACTCGACTAAGGTCTGTTCCGCCCCTACGCCGAAGGAGAAGAGTTGGATCAAAATCTGAATCAACTCCTGTTTCTTCCTTTCCTCGGATGTCGTTAAGTGCAGGCTGCCGACGGTCCGTAACAACAGTAGAATCTTTTGCAACACCACTCTGGTTAACCTGCTGTACCGGGCTTTTTGCTCGTCTTTTTGGGCTTGGACTGCTTTTCGGGAGGTCGGGGACAAAGAGGAAGAAGCAACACCAGAAAGACCTCCAGTAGATGTCGCGGCACCAGCACCACTCCCGCCCGTCGTAACCGCTTTATCGACGTTCGAAATCACCTTCCGCGCGGGGGAACTCGTGTTAAAAACCTCCCCTCCGAAGGATGACTTTGACAATTGCTGCTCCAACGCCGTTTCCCCCCGGGTTAATCGTACCGGGATTCCATCGATCTCCTTCGGGGCGACAGTTTTTAATAAGAATTTGCTTGCAATTGTGTCGACAACCGTCACTAACAACTCAATCAGCCCCGCAGCCGTCGCCGCGGCGGCAACCTCCTCAACCACGGAAGGAACGGCGGAAGACGATAACATGAACCCCGACATCTCTTCCACCGCTCGGAGTAACAACCGCATGGGCTTTTCAATCTCCTCATCACCCACAAAACCATCGGACGCAGTTGTAGTTTTGGAAGATGAAATTTTGTCCAGAATCCGCTCGGTTTTTTTCCGGCTCGCGATGCAGCAGTCTAACAGTCTAACCTTGCTCATCGGCTGCTTCAGAATCTGCTTGAAGTCCGAAAATTTGAACCTGCATTTCGTCGGATGACAGAAGTCGAGAAGTTGAAAGGAGGTGTGACATTCGTCTACTCCTGGTCCTGTGTTGTTCCCCGATGAAGATGTTGAAGCGCCCTGTAGTTTCCCCAGAAACTTCCCAGAAATCAAATGGTAGAACGCGAGAGACTCCGCCGTGTTGACGGTCTCAGAACCTGCTGCAGTACCCGTCCCTACACTTCCGTCCGTTATCATAGCAGCTTGTCTAGTATTCGAAGTAGTAGTTGCAGCGGCGACGGCAGCGGCAGTGACGCATTTTCCCAACTGGGGGAAGAGCAAATCCAGATTTTTCGCCACATATCGCAAGAAAATAAAACTGCTTCACTGTAAACTTGTAACGACCTGTTTTCCAAAACTACGAAAGGCGCAGCTCAGCGGCGCACTGGCTAAACGCGGCACTACTCAAAAGCGAGGCGCCAGCGCCACCTAGTTTGGGCACTACTTAAGCGGGGCGCCACAGGAGCGGCGCCCCTGGGCGCACGAAGCGCACTACTTAGGCGGGGCACTACTTAAGCGCCGCCCCTGGGGGCGCGAGGCGCACTACTTAAGCGGGGCGCCACTTAAGCGCCGCCCCTGGGAGCGCGAAGCGCCCTACTTAAGTGGGGCACTACTTAAGCGCCGGCCCTGCGGGCGCGAAGCGCACTACTTAAGCGAGGCGCCACTTAGGCGGCGCCCCTGGACGCGCGAGGCACTTAAGTAAGCGCAGCACCTACTTACGCGAAGCACTTAAGCGCCGCAGCTAAGCGAAGCACTTAGGCGAAGCACTTAGGCGAAGCACTTAAGCGAAGCACTTAAGCGAAGCACTTAAGCGAAGCACTACTTAGGCGCGCACGTGGGGCGAACACGTGGACGCACTCCTCATGAGGCGCATGCGCACTACTTAAGCGGCGCACTACTTAAGGCAGCACTACTTAAGAGAGCAAGCGACGCACTACTTAGGCGAAGTGTCTGTCTTGCTACAGATGCAAGAAAATGCATTTTTAGCTGTGTTTTCCCTTTGGAATCTCGCATGGCAAATTTTCTTTGTCATATAGAACAAACTTGCGATGCAAAACTTGCAAAATCCTTACAGTGAAACACTTTTTTCGTACGATACCACTATCGGGTTCGCGAATAATTCCTTCGGAATCACGAATTTCTCGATATCGAAGATCTTGTTCCCCTTTTGCAGCAGGTTCATTGCGGAAGTATGTTTTAAAACGAGGAAGAACCCTTGGTACTTTTCCAAATTGGTGGTCTGATCAACCGCTGGTGGTATTACACTACTGCCAGTGCTTGTCATGGCGATGATACCGGCCCCACTTGATGTTCCAGCTGTACTACTATTCCCACCGCCGCCTTCTGGCAACAGGGTCGCGACGTCCGCTAGCCAAATTTTCGCCGACGCGGGCGGACTGGAGGAAGACGCGCTTCGCATCGCAACCGACCCCAGAGATCGCTCCTCGGCAAAGCTCGATGCCGGGAGTGCGAGTTGCAGTGCCCAGCAGTCGTTGCTCCCATACACGGTTTCGGTGCCGTTGGTGGTAAGTAGTGCCACTTCGAACACAATCGGGTTGAGTAGAGAAGGTGACCACGAATTACTACTATCTCCAATAACTTTCTTGCTGTCATTGTAAATTTTCCTCCCGCACTGCAAACTCCACTCTCGGCCAAACTTCTCTGATCCTAATCTCACCGAAGCCGTCACGCTGACCGGCTCTCCGAGAATTTGTCGCTGCTGCCCACTCGCCGACGCGAGAATGTTAGAATCGGAAACAATTGGTGGCAAAAGCGTGAAACTCGACCCCGCGCCCGAGGTGAAGTTGCAGAGCTCCACTTTCCTTCCCCCCTTCTGCAACACCGCTTCTTCCGACCGAGAAACGGTGAGGTACTTGTTTGTTTTCAGATGCAACAACTGTATCCGCGCACCGTACACGAGCTTTGAGTTTGAGGTAATGCCTGTGCTAGCGGAAGATGATTCACTCGACGTTGCTGTGGTTCCTGAAGCTGAAGCCCCGGAACCTGACATTCCTCCAGCTGCTCCGGATGCATCGTTGCTGCCGCCAGACGAACCCCCACCTCCGCTGTGCACTTGCCTCGGGACCAGTCGGAAGAGGAAATCTCTCGGATCATGCACTTGGTTTGTAGTGGACTGCTGAAAGCCGTCGGGGTAGCAGATTCCACCGAACAGCTGCAGTTCCGTGTCCGTGCCCAGAAAAATTGGCAAGGGACGGAAAGGGTTGTAGTTGCCACCTCCGAAGGCCGTTGCGCTCGGCTGTCCACCCGCACTGCAGGGTTGCAGGGAAATGACATCTCCGAAACACAAGCACTTTTGCTGTGGAATACCTCCGGACTGGAGGGGCGAGGGGTCCATGTTGGAAAAGAGCGACGAAGCGGGGCGTTCAAATTGCTCTCACCTCAGTTCTTGTCGTGGGCTTCTGCGCCGTTGCAGCCCTCGCCGGCGTGTAGCAGCTAGGACGCCGTCGTCTTTGGAGGTTGGCAGAAACCTGCCCGGCAACGGAAACCTGCTCTACAACGGCCCCGTCGAAGGCACAAAGAGTCAGCAAGGAACACCTACAACACGAAAGCTTGCTCCGCCACAAGCATAGTCAAGCCATGTCCTTGGAAAATTTCAATTGGGTAGTACTGCATTAACTACAGCAACCAATAATTCTACTTTACATCAGCGTTTTAGTAGTTTCACTCCCCGTGCCTATTTTTTCCACACGTTTTCATACATAAAAACCACACTAATATTTATAATCCTCTCCTGCTCTCTGCTGCACCAGACTTGAGTCACGCACGCGGTTTATTTTCTCTTCGACACATGTCCTCGTGTGGGCACTTCACCTATGATTTCCACTTCCTCTCGACGTGCGGCGTACTTCCTTGCAAGCGGACCTGAAAATGCTGAGCCAGTCCCTCTAGCTGCACTGCTTGTGTTCTGAGTGCTGTTCTTTGCTTAGATCCTCTTGTTGTTTGTTCCAACCCACTCCTGCTCCTCTCTGCCACAGCTTATCACCTCAAGTTCCATGTGTAAGAAATCTCGGCACGCCCCCTTGTAAGTAGTTACTGTGGTGTCTTCGCAGGCCGTGGTGGTGGAACAGTCAGAGCCTTAGAGGTGGCCAACCAGTCGAGAGCGCGCCGACGTTGTTACCTCAACGCTAGTGGGCTTGCCGGCCCTCGGATTTGTTTCGTAACTGTTCGCCTGTTAAGCTCTTGAAGCCCCGCCCGTTGCCGGCTGCGAGGGCCGCGTGCGCGGTCCGCAGGAGATGTTAGCTCCCGGGCGGCCGCGCCGACGAGATGCACAACGGCCGGCCGCAAGCAAGGGGCCGGCGACAGAACAACAGCCGCCCTTGAACGGGCGGGGGGTGCGCCGGGCCCGGGCCTTGCCGGGGCGCGCGCCCGCGGAGATAATGTAGCAAGAGCGCTCCCGTGCGGGGTAGCTGGCGCGCGGGGGGCGCTAAGGTCAACGAATGGGCGCGCGGGCCCTCCGGCGCGCGGAATGCGCGCAGTGCGGGCGGGGGGCGCCGGCCCGGCCGGCCGCAAAGAGAAAGCGGGCGGCCCCTTATTGGGGCCGTTAATTGATCGGGGCGCCCTGACTTCCGCCTCTGCGTCCACCGCGCTGTCTTCCAACTCGCTGGGCCTCGGGCGCGCTCCCCTGTGCTCGCACCCGTGGGGCGCCGTCTGCTCGTCAATGGGCACAGCGCCCCGGCCCCTCGAGAGCGCCGCCGCCCGCGGGCCCTTCGGCCAGCAGCGGCGCCCCAGCGGCGCCCCGGCGCGCGCCCCGCCTACAAGGTTGCCGCCGCCCCCGCGCCGCGCCGCTGAGTCCCCCCGTGTCCAAGCGGAGCCCCTCACACGCCTGGAGTTTTTCCCCCAAGTGCATTGATTCCCCCGGCCTGACAAACCGGCCGGGCATCGCCCTCGGCGCCGCGGGCTCTGTTGCCCTTCCACAGCTTCGGGCCCTCGCACGCTCTGGCTTTTCCCCGTATGAAGGTGGCGCGCCCTGTCGCCTTGGGATTGCGGGGCGCGGAGCCTGCGCTCTTTCACCGTCTGGAATGGGAACCAATTCCGCGCGCCGGCTTCTGCGCCTGCTCTGCGCGAATGGCGACCACGCTGCCCCCGGCAAAGGGGCCGCGCCAGCGCAGCAGCGGCGCAGGCGCGCGCTCCTGCTAGGGTTTTGATTAAAATGGACACGAAGCAACAAAATCGGACGAAAAACCGCTCCTGGATCGATCCAGTTTGCGGACGCTGCTTCCCGGCGCAGCATTAGGTTGAACACGATCTCAGCACCTTTATTTCACATAATCTTTCACGCCCAATAATAATAAAATCAGCGAGATATAAATTCAAACGTCTTATTCTTCCTCCGACTTCCTGCTCCATCGAGAGCAAAATCCTACTGTACAGTGCTGTCGCAAGTGGATCTCACCTTTCCAATCTCAAGTTTGTTCTCATCCTTCAAACTGGCTTCTTGTTATTTCATCCTTCAAAATGTAGAGTACATTTTATCTTTCCATGGGTGCAGCTGGTGCACGAAGATCAACAACATTGTACAGAGTTCTGAGAAGTTCGTGTAAAGGAGCAACCGAACTATTGAAACATCAATCGAAATAAACTACAGGCTTACTTTCTCTTTCAAAGCTGAACACGGCTCTAAATGCGCCGGTCATCGTCATGTCAATGGTATAAACAAAAATGGAAAACAGTGAAATCAAACAATTACTCAACAGGATCACGACTACGCCGGCAGATCGTGAAGGTAGCAAGAAGTACGTTTACACTGAAACAAAAAAAAATCGACACCATTTTATATCTATCCCCCACACAACTTCCACCACCAACGAACTCCACCACTGGTTCTCCCGACAGCAGCGGTACGCCACAACTCCTGATTAATAAAACCTCCGGATGCTGAACATCAAAATCTTCGTCGTACGCGAACTGTTCTCTTCACTTGGAGGTTGATTTCTTTGCGGATTCCTCCGTGAACAGCACTTCGTCTTCCTCCAACAATTTCTTCACGTCGCTCGGGGACATGTACCGGCAGCACGCTTTCGACCCCGCCACGGCGGCGTACGCCTTGTTCGCAAGGTAGGACAATTTCCCTTCCGGTTTGTGTTCGCTGCAATCAATCGGTTTCCCGTCGTACTGCCCGCACTCTTCCAGCGAGCAGAGGTCGCGCATCGACGTCTTCGACAGTCCAGTCGTGTACCGGGGAATGCACTTGCCACCGGGACCGTAGCAGCCATCTTCGAATTCGTTCTCGCCCGGGTGGAGAAACCTTTATTTCGTGGTTTTTTTTTTGGAATGGAGAAGTACGCATTTTTGGCAGCGTCCTAGTTTCTCATGCAAATCACGATATAGCAAAATGTGTTCCTGCAGCTGTTTTCCTTTTATGCCTGACAAATTGAAGCAGATTTATCAAGCAATACCGACAGCACTTCGATTCCGCCCCCATCATTCCGCCAAACATGTTATGCGCCAAGGAGCTCGGGGTCGCCAGCTTGCACCGCACCTCATCCTCGTGGAACTCCGCGCACTCGGCCCGGCTACACTTGGAATCCAACTTGGGGACGCAGGAACTGTCAAAGTAGCAAAAGGCGCAGGGCACGCCGTGTTGCTTCTCTTTAACACCGAGCTCGAGGATATGGACTGCAAAAGTGTCTGGGTCTGGAAGAATGGAAGGACTTGTCATGCTCTGCTAGCATGACCCCAAAGTCTGTCATGCTCGTTACCCAAAAGCCCCAATTTTCTGTCATGCCAAAACGCGGTTTGTCATGCAGAATATCATGAAAAATCTAGAAAGTCAAGAACTTGTCATGCTGAGCCGTCACTTGTGGCGTCCTCAGGATTTGCCAACCAGCATCACAAGTTTCCAGACCTAGACATATTTGCAATCCATAGAGGAAGGACGAACGCGAATTCGCGAAAGCGAACGCCGAGGTTTCTCCTGAGTATAAACGTACCCACACCAGAGTTGTAATGCAGATTTGCAAAGACAGGAAGACTTGTAATGCGCATCCCCATGAGAGCCATTTCCAGTCGTGTTTTGGAATTTGTGATGCTGTGAACAGGATGAGCAGATGAGTCTGTGATGCGGATTTACTTGCTAACCTGCACTACACTGCAGAGTGCAACTTGTCATGCGTGACTCACAAAACTCCTAGGTTTGTGTTGCAAAATCCCGATCCTGACTCTGGTGTGGGTACGTTTTTACTCAGGATAAGGTTGCGAATGATTGCTGTAGCGAGAAACCATGTTCGTCTTGTAGTTGATCAGAAGTAGTAATCATGTCGTCGCTTCTTGTTGCAGTTGCGGCAGAAGAGGATCCACTTGAAGATGTTTCAGCAAAATTGTCCATGTCCACACGTTCTCCCCGCCCGTTGAAGTAGTGGACAACTCCGGCTGGTCCACCACCGGTACTTCGAGACGAAGAAGTAGCAATAGTACCCGGATCCACCACCTGTGTAGTTTCCTTTTCAACAATATCGATTGCAAATATGTCTGGGTCTGGAAGAATGCAAGTTTGTCATGCTTATCTCGCATGACTCGAGAATCTGTGTTGCATAGGCACGAGAAGGCCCTTTTACCTGTCACGCAAAAACGCAGCTTGCCATGCGGAATACGTAAGACATGGAAGCCAAAAGATTTGTCACGCATAGCTACGTATTGCAGTGCGTCTATCATCCACTTTCAGCATTACAAGCTTCCAGACCCAGACATATTTGCAATCCATAAACAACAGCATTCTCATCCACGTGGTTTTGATCGAAACCTGCTGCAGAAATATCCTGAGTAAAAACGTACCAACACCAGAGTTGTAATGCAGATTTGCAAAGACAGGAAGACTTGTGACGCGCATCCCCATGAGAGCCATTTCCAATCGTGTTTTGGAATTTGTGATGCTGTGAACAGGATCAGCAGGTCGATTTGTGATGCGGCTTTCCTTGCTAACTTGCACTACCTTACGGACTGAAACTTGTCATGCGTGACTCCCAAAACTCCTAGGTTTGTGTTGCAAAGTCCCCATCTTGACTCTGGTGTGGGTACGTTTTTACTCAGGATAAGAAAACCCCGTTATTTGTAACGCCGTTGTTCCAGCTGTAGTTGAACCGCCAAAGAAGTTTCCGCCCCCGTCGTCCGGGGACGTGGAAGAAGAAGTAAACATTGTGAACTCGTCTTTGTTCCCCGGCTTCTTCGACAAAAACGACGCCGGTGCAGACCACGGCGTCATTTTTCCGATGCTGCTGCTCTCATGGTTGGAAGTGGTACTGTCGTGCGCACCACTTGAGTCGGACCGTAGGGACGAGAACTGCCGGTCTTCTTGGAGTTGGTTCAACATCATCGGTTGCGGTTTACTATTTGCTCCTCGTCCTGGTGCAGCTGTTCCTTCGAGGTAGTTGTTGCCGCCGTACTTGGTTTCCCCATCAACCAAAAAGTCTCCACTAACTCCCCTTTTTGTGGTGCTGTCCTGCGCCGTTTTACCTGATAATTCGGTGAAAGAAGTTTTTTGCTGTTCCTCTCCAACAATCCCCTCCGCCGTCGTTCTTTTTCCCATCGGCTTCAAAAAATCCTCCTCATTCCCACGCCGATAACTCGCGGCTTTGTTACTTCCGTCAGATTTATTTCCTAAAGAACTTCGTCTCACGTCCCTCTGATTTTCCTTTCCCCGAGCCAGCACCATCGGGTTGTGGGCAGACCGGTGCGAAAAAATCCGGAGTTGCGCATTGCAGAGGGAGATACAACTCCCGTGTAGCTGCAAAAGGAAGTAGTTGTACAACAGCAGCGACCACGGTTGGAGGACCACACGACCACCCGCCGGCGGTCTCAATAAAATCCCCATGTTGACGTGGAAGTGATGTGCAGCTCGGTGGTAAGCGGTGTGGTGCGAAGTTTTCCGGGTTATTATTTTCCACTTCGTGATGGTGATCCGCGGGAGAAGTTGTGAGGATTTGCGGTCACAAATCCCGATTGCTGTTGCCTTCTTCCGTTTCTGGTTTAATAACTTGGTATCTCCTCGCCGCACAACAAAAAAAAAAACAAACTGCGTCTGCGAGAGTTGAAATAATTGGTTTTACTTTTACAGAATTGCACTTTGTTTGCTCGGTTACACCAAAACACGTTCGAAGTCCACGCTTTATGTGCGTCGTTGCGTAACACGACATACTTATATACGTGGTTCGGTGATCTGTATAATGCGCAGTGGGTGTAGTTACTTAGGTTTAGCACGGATCTTCATCATCTTTTACGGGCGGCAGACAGTGGGCACATCAGTGAGTTGTGATCTAGTATTTGTTCTGATCGTGTAAATAAACTTTTCTTTCATTTGACGACCCTACTACGAGGACGCTGCGTTCTTCACAGAGGACACGCATGGTAGAGAGAAACGACCCCTGACGTGATCTTTACGTAATTCTTTGACAGCACATAGACATACCACGGGAACACATGACGTCGCCTTCATGATGAATTTTCGCAGTGAATGCATAAGTATGTGCGCGAACAACTCGTGTAGCCACGCGACAAATATACTGTTTTTTTTGTTGAAAAAATGTTATCGTATTCAGTGACCAACAAGTCGAAGAACTACACCTCCGCCAGTACAACAGAACCGCAAATCATCATGCAGCCGCTCTGGAGTACTACTACCATCACATCAACGCCTTTTTCTTCCAATACAGCGCTTCCAAGACCGCTATGGACTCGTCCAGGAAATGCGCCAAGTCCTTGAAAGAAATCTTCCGGTTTAACGCACTCGAATTCGCGTACGCCTCCATTACCGTCTGTTTCCACTGCAGCGTGTGTTCCTGCAAATTTGACAGTGCGAAGAGAATCACCGCAATTTCGTGCTGTTTCTCCGTCGGAGGTGGCTTAGCTACGTGTTTATTGTTACTCGAAGATGATCCGCCTGCTCCTAAAGCCGTTGACGCGGTTGTCGACGCGGTCGCACTGCTATTAACCGAGCTTCTCATATGCTGTCCGAAACCACCGAGGCTGCGGCTTGGGCTGGTTGTTGCAACGGACTGCTGGTGCTCAATTGCTGGTGCTGGCGCGCTACAGTTATGGTACATCGCCGCGAGTAGCTGGCTTTCTTCATCCAATGCTCGGTACAACAAGCTCATTGCTTCCTCTAGTTCCCGATACCGGATTTTTTTCCGGTGAAAGTCCCGAATTTTCCGCAACAGCAGGAGCAAAAACAATTTCGCCCCCAGCCGCGCGGAGTCGAAGTGACGACACACGTCGGATTCCAGTTGAATCCAGTCGGTTTTCAGCCGCGAGCGGGCCACGGCCGTTTCGGTTTCCTCGTCAGAGTCGTCTTCAGACTGCGAATACCAAGTGCAAAAATGTCTGGGTCTTGAAGAATGCAACTTGTGATGCTGCATTTGAATTCCAAAAAAGTCTGTATTGCATGAGTACCAAAGGGAATGCAATTTTTGCTACGCTGAGAAGGCACTTGTCATGCGGAATAGGTATCAAGAAGCCCTCCAAAAATCTGTATTGCTAGGGTGTGCATCACAGACATCATGGCTCACCGTCACGCTCATGCAAAACGTGCATGACAACTGCCAGAATCTTCCAGACCCAGCAGACATTTTTACAGTTGATAGCGAAGTTTGGTCTTCCGTTTGAATACTCAAATTTTGCGGTTTGGGGGAGCCAGCGCCACCCCCCGACGACCTGGCTTGCATGCTGTTCAGGGGTGAGGATGGCACCGGCTGCTCGTCTTGTTTCATGATTATCTGGGATGAATGTTGTGGTATTGCTGAAGCTGCTGCTGCTGCTGCACCACCAGGTAGTGCTGCAGTAGTTCCATCAGCTCTGTGGGTTTCCCCCGTGGTTGTAGTGCTCGTCGTTCCACCTCCTTGAGCAACTTGCTGCAGTTGCGATGGAACCACTTGTAACCCTGTTGAAGTGGTCATCGTTGAACCCGTGGTACTAGCCGCATTTAGGGGCTCCGCTGTCCTCGTGGTCGTCGGTGTGCCGGGGCTGGTACTGCAGTGTTGTCCTGCACTGTGTGGAGGTCCACCTGATGCTGTTGATACACTGCCTCCTGCCGCGGTGCTGTTCTGCGGCAATTTCGGTGGCAAGGACGACCCAACTGCCGAGGGTCCAGATCCAGGGGTGGTGGCGGTTGTTGTTCCAAATAAAGCTGGTGCTGCACCTCCTACATGCTGCTGTTGCTGCGCCCCGAGCTGGTGCTGGTGGTGATGCGCCGCGAGCGGCGTGACGCGATCTACTCGATTTGCGGACTTTGGGGAGCCCAGTAGCTCCGCGTGTAACGGGGAGTCGAGCAGCGTGTCGCGGGGAGGTGGCAAGCTGTGATATATTTTTCGTGTGGCAAAAACGCAACAATTGGGGCACATTTTTAGATGAAAAGCAATGTAGTGCTGCTTTCAGCAGCTGTAAAATAAAAATAGGGGCTATACGGGTATGATTATCATAATCTTCATACTCTCAACAAAGTGTAAGCAAGACAAACAAAAATCACTTCTAATCTATCCAGTATACTCGTTCTCGCCGAAAATTTTTGCGAGCGTGTCGTAGTTCCGTGCCTGCGCCATTTGCACCTGGGGAGACGGAAGTTTCTTGGATGACTTCCTTCTCGGTACGTTCGTGTGGGCGGAATATCAAATGCAAAAATGTCTCGGTCTGGAAAGTTGTAATGCTAAAATGTGCATGATGAAAACATTTTCTCATGCAGGAAAGCATGACAATTTGGCAAAACACTTTCTCATACGCACTCCGCATGAGAAACTGCCTTTTTGTATTTACAAAAGAGACTACGACCTTTGTCGGTCATGCAGTACAGACTTCGCAGGAATGTAAGGCCAGCATGACAAGTTCCGCTCGTCCGCACCCAGACATATTTGCAATCCATACGGAACTGGTAGCACTGATGTTCCGGGTGGCCGCTTCCTCTGAAGTAGACCGCATCTCCGCCGAGGATTTTGTTTCAGTTTGGTGCCCAGGTGTCAAAATTGGGGGTGTAGCAAGTGGCGGAGGGACAACTCCCGTTGCTTGCCCACCGGAAGGTGCGACGGAGGGGCTGCTCATCGTCCTCGACGTGATCCTCGTCCTCGTGAGTCGAAGTTTATAGACGTCCTAGTCGCACGGCAAGTAGCTCCTCGGCGCGATGACGAGACGCGAAGAAGGGCAATCTTGTGGTGTTTCTTCAGTATTCTTAGATTGTTCGCAACATGACTGAGCTTGCTGACATTTTTACGCTGGAAAACTGTGCCACACTGAGTAGGAGGTAACAAGACCAAACTCCTTTTCGCGTCGACATATTCATCTCACGAGAAAACACAAAAATAATTCTTGAGAGGAGTGTAGTTGAAGTGCAGTCTACTCTAGAGCTTTGGTCAAAGAGAACAACACACCATGTTGCTCGAGCTTAGGCCCTGCTGTTTCATCATGATACTGCGACCAGGTTCTGACCGATAGAAGACATCAAGCTTGAGTCGCAGCACAGCCTTCTACTGAGCGGATACTACACATAAATTCGCAGTTGAACAGCTCAGCGGTAGTACAGTTTAGGTGTATGTGCAGACAAGAAATTCAACAACAGACTTCGTTCCTCGTTGGTTCATATTCTCCTGCCAGCTGCACAAGCAAGCGCCACACTCGAAGTGAAGTTGAGTGAACACAAGATTAACGATTTCTTTTCCTCGTCCCCGTCGTGTCAAGACACACTCAACTTCTCAGGTTTGGTACAGTTTGAAGATTCGAAGATGAAAATGGTGTTGGAACTAGAGATCCAAAAGGCGGTGATACTAAAGAAACCGGTGGTAGAAAAGTGTCATGCCTGATTATGGTCAACAGGATCATACGGTATTGTATCTGTAACGGAATCTATCACGGCTAGAGGTGGGAGAAGGGGAAGGGGATGAAAACTCTGAGGATGGGGTAAAAAAGTAAGTACTTGGCCAACGGTGTGGATAATAGGGCAACTCTATTATACTTAAGCGGAAAAAAAAACTCAAAGAGAAATATATGTATCGATCTTATGCCAGAACTAAATTGAGAGATGAGAATGTAATACCTGCTCCTAGAAGTTTACAACTCCAAAATGCGTACTGTAAAAATTCAAGAAAATAGAGAACTGCATTTTCACAGCCCTAGTTGCATCGAAAGTCTGCTGATAGATTGTCTTCACAAGCTGCTCGTCTACTTTCTGCAGCTAGCTACAAATCTTCCACCTCTTACGTCAGAAGACTCAACTCAGCGGATCGCGATCCCCTGTCCGGGTTGTGGCTGCGCGTAGTGCCTATCGACTGCAAATACTTATGTCTCGGTCTGGCACAAAGATTTGCAGATATTTTCTCATCATGGTCTTTCGACATGCTTCTAGGGACCTGCTTCTCGTGTTATTACAGCATAACAGCATGATAAGTCTATTTCCGTGGCTTCTTGCAAACACGAAGCCGAAGTGCCTCGATGGTGTTTACCAATAGCACAAGAAACTGGGTTGATTAATTAATGAAATAATATAGCCGGAAAACCAACAATCTCGCCGTTCCTTTCCATGCATCACAAATCTCCTTTGGTGTTCTAGAACTTTCGCATCACAATTTCAGTCTTCCAGATGTGGACATAAGTAAGTAATTTGCAATGCGTAGAGCCCGTAGGAGTAGCCCGTGCCTTGGGTCGTGAACGTGCTGCGTTTGGCCAGCGTGAGCCAGGTGCCCACCAGCCCATCCAGCACGGTTTGCCCGACCTGGTCCGCCACGGTAATCCCGGGGGACTCCGGTTTCGCGTTGGCGTTATGCAGTGCAAAAGTATCGCACTCGTAGTAATTGCAGTCATGCAATACAAATCTCGTTTGCGTTTCCAAGGCAAATCAGCATGACAAATTTCATTTTTCATGCTGAGGGAATTTGTCATGCAATTTGTACTAGCGCGATACTTTTGCAGCTCATAGGCGTCTTGGTCCAGCAGGACCCGCGCGGCCGCGCGCTTCCGATACTCATGAAAGTACTCCTTCAGCGTGAAGGACTTCTTCACCCGGTCCAGCCCGACAGCCTGGATTGAGCCAGAAATGTCGGCACCCGCCTCCTGCACCCCGTTCAGCGAGAGAAACACCTTCGGCAAAGAACCGCTTCCTGGAACTTCGAACTTCCCCTCTGCGCTGTTGTACACCGCAATAGGGTCGTACAGGACCAGCTTGTATCAAATGCAAATATTTCTGGGTCTGGAAGGATGCGAACTTTTGATGCGCATTTCGCATGACTCAAAAATCTGTCATGCATGGAAGCCAAAGGCTGCACATTTCTGGCCACCGAAAGAAGGGTCTTGTAATGCGGATTACGCATTAAGAGACATTCTAAAAACCTGTGATGCTGGGGCGTGCATGGTAGCCCTTCTGGGTCATGCCAAACCTGCATCACAAACCTCTGCGTCCTTCCAGACCTAGACATTTTTACACTTGATAGCTTGCACACTTCCGTCCCCGGCGTCACCTCGTGAAATTTCGCAAAAGTCAGCAGCTTATCAAATGTAAAAATGTCTGGGTCTGGAAGGTTCTGAGATTTGTCATGCCTATTTCGGATCACGCACGTGGCGTCTGATGCAGGCAAAAGCATCACAGGTTTTGAGCAAGCCTCATGATGCCTGTCCCGCATGAGAAACTTCCTACTTGCGTGCCAAGAAATGGACAGCTTTTGGCGCTCATGCAGCACAAATTTTTGTGTGTTCCAGAGTTTGCATCACAAGTTCCAACCCTTCCAGACCCAGACATTTTTACATTTGATACAGCTCCTTGAAATTCCTCCCCGGGAGCTGCACATACACCTGCACCACGGGGGAGGGCTTTGAGACAATAGGAAATTGCGGGTCATCCGCAGACATCTTGTTCTGGACGCAAAGCCGAATGCTGCGCACGTCCGCGTCCCAGGTCGAAACATACGCGTGGACCGTCGCCGGGTCCCAGGGGCGGAAGGCTAATCCGTAGCCAAAGTGGTACTTGACGTTTTTGTGTTCGTCGTACTGCGTCTGCTGGTGCCGGCGGTAGCCCATTTCGACCCCGTTGCCCGGGTTCCAGGGGTCGTTGTAGCTGTACGGGTCCGGCTTATTTTCCGCGCCCCAGGCGTCTTGGGAATCGAACAGGGTCAAATGCAGGTGCCCCGAGGGTTGATACGTGCCCATCAAAACGTCGACCAGCGCGTGCCCGGCGAGTTGGCCCGGGTAGATGCTGAAGAGCACCGCAGCAGCCTGGTCGAATCCGGAGGTCGGGACGGCGCCGGGCGCGGAAACAAACACAATGGCATTGCTGAGATCCGCATGCCCCGGGAGTGTGAAAGCGTCGCGCATTTTGTGCAGGTCCCGGTCCTGCCCTTCGCGAGAGTCGGTCGACAGGCAGTAGAGCTTCAGTTTCGTGGAACTGTCCCCTTCCTCGGCGAACATGCCCGCGGCTTTGAGTGTATGAACTGCAAAAGTATCGTACACGTACTCGTATAAATGCATTACAAATTTGCTCAGCATGAGAAATAAAAATTGTAATGCGGATTTACCTTACAAAAAAGAGTTGTAATGCATGATTGCAATACGAATCCGATACTTTTGCACAGGATAGAGTGCCTCCGCCGGAAACACCTGCTTGCACCCGCCGACCGACCCGCTTCCCCCGCCGGCGATTTGGAACTTTTCTTCCGTGCAGGAGTGGTCGACTTTTACCTTCTGCGTCGGCGCGAGGGGGAGCAGGTTATTTCGGTTTTCCAGCAACACCAAAATGTCCACGGCCAGCATTTTCGTCAAGTGGCGCCAGTCTTCGTAGGTAGCGGCGTTTGGCTTCTGCGGGAAAACCTGCGCTTGCTTCTGGCGAGACAGGTAGAGCGGATCCTGCTTGTCCAACTGGTGGCCGTCCTGTGCGGCCGCCAGAATTCGGAACCCCGCCTTGCGTTTCAACGCCGCCGGCGCGCTCCCCACGTCCAGCATGTTTTGCACTCCGCCCTTCCCCGCGCCGTTATCCGGCCCCCAGGAGCCCTTGGCCGGCTGTTCCTGGTGCAGGCCTGCGGTCAGGTAGTCGGTCGCCTTGTACTGGCTGTTCGGGTTGTGCACGACCCAGTCCGTGAGCACGTAAAACCGGTCCGAAAGGGAGTTCAGCCAATTGAGAATTTTTCCCTGCGCGCAGCAGGGCACACCCTCCACCTGATTGTAGCCGCACATCACGCTCTGCGACCCCGCGGCGATGCCCGCGACGAAGGGTTTCAGGTACAGCTCCATATGGGCCTCGTCCGGAATGACCACGTTTGACCGCGCGTCGTTCCGGTGCACCTCCCAGTCGTTGCCAATGTAGTGCTTCAAATTCGACAAAACCCCTCGCGCCGTCATGGCGCGCACCATGGATTCCGTGTGAACCACTCCAATCACAGGGTCCTCCCCCGGAAGGTACTCAAAATTCCGCCCGTTCAGCGGGTGGTGGTGAAACTGCACGCCCGGGCCGAGGATGAGCTGCGCGCCGTGGACGTGGAAGGTTTCCGCGAGCAGGTAGCCGTACACAGTGGCGTATTCCGGATCCCAGGCCTGTCCCACGGCGCCGCACCCCGGAAACATGATTGCGGCGTCCTTGTCCAGCCCATGGTCGTGCAGAGACCCGTCATAGCCCGAAGTGCGAAACCCTTGCGGCCCATCCATGTAGGTCAGCCCCTCGAACCCGATGCTGTCCACCGACTGTGTGAGACCCACGAACGCATACTGGCCGTTCAGCACCCGCTCACCCCAGTGTGACAGTGCACAACTCCCTCTCCCCCTCATTTGTCATGCAGAACCCCAATGCCAAGTGCTTCCCCGTGGCAGTATTTGCATGACAGATTCCGGAAGGAGCCTAAACAGTAACAGTATTACTCGCGGCGCATGAATTTGTAATGCACAGGCTCCAGGAGTGGTGGTGTTTGTACTGCTGCTAATGCAATACAAATGAGGGGAAGTGGGGGTTGTGCAGTCTCATACCCAGCCGCCCCCGAGGACGAACCGGTCCAGTTCGTGGTCCTTCACTTGGTCGATCAGCTTTATGAGTGTGTCAGGATCGAAATCTTCAAAGTTGAAATAGTTTGTCATGCATAAAATGCAACCGACAAAATGTCTGTCATGCAGAATAGGCAAGTGAGGCAGATAGTAAGCCTGGTGAGGGGTAGAAATAAAGCTGCTACAGTAGCAATAGCACGACAAATAGCGTCTTCCTTACCCAAACAACATTACAAACTGGATAATTTTGGCTCTACCCAAATTTGTCATGCGCCACTGGAGAACTGGGCACCAAAGTGTATGCGTTTTATGCATCACAAATTATCTAAACTTTGTCGATTTCGATTCTGACACCACCATAAGCTGCTGCGTGGCCGCATTCCGCGCCTGCTCGTTGCCTTCCCACAGCCCAAACAGCTCGTCCACGGCCGCCCGCGTGGCCAGCGAGGCAGCGTTGGCGGCCTCGGGGTCCACAACGCCACCGATCCCTCGTGCGTGCGATGTCCCGCCGACGATCTCCACCTGTTGCGCACCGAGGTAACCGTTGTGGGGGTTTCGCGCCGGGAACGCCGTCGCCGGCGCACGCTCGTCCGATAAAGGGGTTTCTCCACCTCCGCAGGAAGCGCAGTTGTCCCGCGCCGGTTGGTATCAAATGCAAAAGTGTCTGGGTCTGGAAGATAGGAAGATTTGTTATGCACACCTGACATGACCCATGACGGCGGTGATGTATGCCCTAGCATCACAGATTTTCTGAGTGCTTCTTGATGCCTATCCTGCATGAGAAATACCCTCTCCACGTGGCAAAAACTGAACTTGCCATGCAACACAGATTTTTTTACCATCCAAAAATAGCATCACAAGTTGCATCCTTCCAGGAGACCCAGACATATTTGTAGTTGATAGCTGTTTCAAGCCGTCCTGTACCGCCGGATCGGCGTGTTTCTGGCCCCAAACGTGGTGGCCGTCGTTGTTGTGTGTGGTAGTCTGGTCCGGATTGCCGCCCTGCCACTGCTCTCCGGAACTCGGAAGGGTTTCTAGCCCGGTGGTCATCCCCGTGGTCTGCTGCCCGCCACTGCTGCTTGTTTTCCCCGGCGTGCCAATCACCTTGCAGCGCCACGGAGTGCGATATTCAATAGGGTCGCCCTCCTGGACGGCTCCCGGCGTGCAGGAGCCGTGGGGCAGACAGCTCTCCCACCACTCGTCTTTTTCGTAGCATGTTTCCGTTTCCACGCAGCAGCGCTGAAATGACCCGCACCGTTCCCCCGTCGGGGCACAGGAGGAAGTCGCTGCTTCTTCAGAGTAGATCTTATTTGTCTTTTCAAGCGCTTCTTTTTTCTCCAGCATTTTCATTTCCCGTCCACTTCTTCCCAGCTCCTGTTCCTGGTGCTCTTGGTCTTGCTTGCTTTTCCGCTGCAGAAACAACACACTTCCCAGCGCGGTGCCGTCGTCTCGCCGCATTTTGTTCCTCTTTGCTGCAGTTTTTCTCATCGTGCTTTTCGCTTCCCCTGTGCCAAGGTTGTTTTTCATCTTCTCTTTCGCCACAAATTGGAGTGCGACCACCGGTCGATAGCAGGTGATCAGCGATACGAAGTAAACCCCGGCTGCGGCGTACAGTCTGGTCCGGAAAAAGACACGAATGGCAACGCTAGTGAGTCGCAGCATCTGGCGCCGTGCCATCATGGCGAAATACAAAAGGGGGAGGTAGATGAAATTCCAAAACAGGACCGAGTAAAAGTGGTAAATTGATTCGTCTCCAGTTCTACTTGAAGTAGTGGACGTCGACCAGCGGGGATAAAGCAGTGCGTTTAAAAGCTGTAGTTCGAGAATAGCCGCGGGCATGCGCATGGTTTAACAATTAGCTTTAGTGATGAAGTAGACAGAACTAGAAGTACTGGGTGGGAGTACAACTTAAGTCTCTGTCATTCGTTCTTCACGTGCTGGTGTGCAATTATCCTGAGGGCATCGGTGGTGGAAAAAAATTGTAGTTAATCAGAATAACACCAAATCAAGTACTTAATGACGAAAGATGAACGATAAAGTGTCTTCTTTGTAACCAATGTGCAGCTCTGTTTCGTTTCCTACTTATTGCAGAAGCGCAGTGGACAGACTGGCACTATCCTCGCCACGAGGACAGTGAGTTGCATATACGATCCTCATTTGCGCGCACGACACACGATTGAAAAAATTGAACGTAATCAATCAGAACGACGCTACGATGAACGAAGAACGACATGACGCGGTCAAGAAGAACGATTTTTATTTTCTACGTGATAACGATAAGCAATAGCAGAACGACACCAAAAGTTGCGATAAGCAGCTCAACATAGGAGGCACGTTTAGAAATATTGGGCGACTTAAACTTATTGACTCATATGAGACGAAGTAAACTTTACCCATTCTGCTTTCGTGTTGAAACTTCAGCTGGATAGCCTCCCAGCCGGCCAAATCTTCTGTTCCACCGGAAAAAGAGAGACCGCAACGCCCGGCGTAAAGATGCGGCGCGCACTTCTTCTATTCCTAAACGAATCTGGAGGCGTGCCGTGCATTTTGTTACCGTGATGGCAAAGCGCGCGCGCGTGTGCCTGCCAAGTGCGCGCGTGTGCCTGCCTAATTCCTTCGCGTGGCCCGCCCGTGTCAGGCATGCTCTTTCGTGCTGTGTGCTGCCTGCGCTCACCTTGGCGGAGGCCTGGTTGCTACGTATGACCACCCGGCGGGAAAACCTGCCGGCCGTAGGGCGCGCGAGCGGGTTCAGGCCGGCGTTTTGTTGTCCCGCCCCCCTCCGTTCCGCCGCGGCTTCGCCCCCCTTGGGCTTTGTTATCCGTGTCCGGCCGCTTGCTGATTGCTGCCGCGGCTTTGGCCGTGGTCCCGTTCGCGGGGAACGCTACCGCGCCGGCCCCCGGCGAACCCGGTCGCCCATCGGGTGGGAGGCTCGTGTGTATCCCTTTGCCGGGCCGCGGCTTTTGGAGCCGTTCCGGCCGTCGGGTATGCGCCCTCTGGCAAGCGCGATCGCAAGGCAGCGCCGCTTTCGCGCGCTGTGCTCTGAGTACTACAAAACGGGCCCGCTGCTGGGACAGGGATGGGGCCGGGGGCTCTCGGTTTGGAAAATTGTGCTAAATGCGCACAGGCCCAACCACGTCCGCCGCGGCCCGGCGGGCCAGAGAGAGGCACGCAGCGAGATTGCCCGCCGGGCTCTTCGTCCTTTTCCATTCGAAAACGCACCACATCAAGCGCGCCAGCGATACTTATGCCGGGCGCTTTAGCATTTGTGCGAACCGCGCCGCGGCGGAGGAGAGGGGCGCCGAAAGCCGGCGCGGCGGGGAGAGCGTCCGAAAAGCGTCGAGAATCGCCGCAAGAGCGCGCCGCGCAGCACTGCGAGCCGCCGCTAAACAGGGCCGCGGCGGAGCTTGCGGGGGCGCTTGCAAGAACGACCCGGAGGCGTCTACGGACAAGGCCGGAAAGCATTTACGAGGGCCACCGCGCGGCGCTGCCGTAAAGCCCAACCGGCGCCGCGCCGGGGCGCCGGGCAGCGCCTACGAAGATCGCAGGCGCGCGGCCGACCGCCGCCGCGGGGGAAAGTGGCGAGGCGCCTTCCCGGGGCGTCGCCGCACGGCTCCCCCACGGTCCTAGACAGCGCGCGACCGTACTTGGTCGGCTTCAGCTGCGGGAAAGGAAGGCAAGGCCCGCCCAGGTTTGTTTGGGCGAAACGTCCTCCGGCAGACTGCGGAGGTCGGTCGCACCAGCTTCGGGCTTGATCTTTACTCTGCGCCGGAATCTGCGCTCCATTTGCGGCCCACGCGATTGGTTCAATGGGAGTAAATGGAAGAAAAACGCGCAAAGTATCCCCACGCCTTTGGGAGGATAACAATCCTCCCTACAACAGGATAGCAGGCTACCAGAAATGGATCACAGTCCGATTCTGTAATGCGTGAACAACCGACAGAGATTCCCCGATGAACCGACGTAGACGACGACGCGACGGACGACGGACACCGGACGCACGGACGACGGAACCGATGAGAAATCAGCTCGTCTTCTCCACAATGACCATACGATTTTGCTGAAGAATAATTTTTCACACGAAGTGAAAATCACGACCGAATTGCCCGATGATCTTGGTTTTAGTTTTAGTTGTACAAACGCAAGAGAAAAGCCGCCATATCCCGTAAAAATGCAATAGAGTTGCAAGATAGACGATCCGGAAAGGAAGGCCGTTTGTTATTTTTTTGGATATTTTCCCTTGCGGGTACAGTGAGAAAAAAGCTGCATTCCGAAGAGCAAACAAGTTACTCAGCAGTCCTATTCTGTTGAATTTGTGATGCGATTTATTCTTGTCATGGTTTGTTGTTACATCGGCATCATCGTCTGGAAATCAAGAAAAAGCCTCTTCATATTTCCTCAGTTTTACTTGCTTTTTCCTTCACCAAAAAAACATAACTGAATGCTAGATGCTCGCGTTAGTTCTCCTAGTGCTACATCGTGCGAGAAAAAAAGAATTCCCTCGCTTCGTTGTCCACCAAAAAACATTGATAACACAGAATAAGAATAAGGCATAGCTTCTGTATAAGACCTGTTGTCCACTTGGCACGAAGAAAAAACAGAAGAAATTTCGTCGATGTGGAGGGCAAATACTTTTGCATACTAGACTTACGCGAGGACAAAGAAGATTACTGCGGCAACGTGCTAGATGCTTTCTACGATTAGTTGTAATTGTTTCAACCGTTCATCAAAACTTGACTTCACAAAAACTCCCCAAGACGACTGCTGTTCTTTCCGGCAGCGGCGCCAGCCGCGGACGACGTCGATCCCCCGACGCAGCCCTTGAAGAAGGTTTTCTTTTCCGTCGTTTTTCCTCCGTTCGACGTACTCGATTGCCCTGCTGTTAACCGCTCGCGGATGGCGTGGCGGTCCTTGCTGTCGGGGACAAAACCGCATAACTGGTCCGGGGTGACCGTCTCAAGCCACTGCAAAGATGTAAATTTATCTTTGCCGCGTGGACCGCATTCGAGACTGGCCTGTTGGTAATCAAGTTTCCAACTGCCGTCGAGACTCTTGTATCCCGGGATCGTCAAATGACTGAGCTTGTCTATGCATGACAAACTCGCACCCATGGCCTTGCTTGTCCGTCTCTTCCTGCATCTCCTCGGAAGCCATTTTTCCTCCCTTTTCGAATTTCCTCCACCGAATAACTTCTTTCTCCAACGCAGTGCATTGAAGCTGCGTTTTATCTTGGTAGTTCTGGAACCGCTCCAACAACTTGTCGCGCCGTTTGTTGCACAGCGAGATGGAGACTGCGTGCGCCTGCGCCTGCTGCTGGTTCTGCTGCCGCAAGAGGAGGATCTCTTGACGTTGCGTCTTAATCACCTTTTCACGCTCGGCAAGACAAGCATCAAGGTGACAGATTCCGCCTTCCGGGAAGTTGGAGGCAGTAATAGACTCGAGGCCAAGTCGTTCCCGGTCCGGCGATTCGACATTCTCCCACGGGTGCTGGTGGAAAAGAAGTTTGTGGTCGGGCGGGAGCAAAAAGGTCGAAAGCGCTGCCGCTTTCTGACCGCACGGCGACAGGACGCAACATTCCACTTTCCCAACTACTTCCCGTCCCAAGCAGGGTTGTTTTGCCCCCAACTTGTCGGCGCCGACGATCTGCAGGCTGAGGTTGCTGACATCCTCATACTTCCCCTGGAGATACGTATATTCTTCCGGCTGGAAGAGATCGGCCGGGGGTTCCACGCGTTGGCGCTTCGCGGGTGACAACTCGATGTCATCCAGAGCGTGAAGCACGTCGTCGACGTCGTACTCCTGCATGGCCGCGGTGGAACCAGAGGGCTTGTTGGACGAAGCAGTGCTGTGGCGCGGAGCAGCAACAACTTCTTGGTCGGAAATCAGGCCGGTGGAAGGCAAGGAGCGGATGATCGGCCCATCATGAGCAGCGGGCACCGAAGAACTCGGCCCTTTTTCCCCGTGGTAATGACCCTTCTCCACGACTAACTGCGGTAGCATTTCCATATCCTTTCCTTTCCCTTTCTCGGCGGGCTTGGAGTTGTACGATTCTAAGTCACGCAGCACTTTTTCGCGTTCCTTTTCGATTTCGCGGAGCAGAACACGGGCCTCAGCGTCACCATCTTGCTCCACCGCCGGGGCAGCGGCGGGCGCAGCAGTTGTCACTTCTTGTTTTACCGCCGGGACAACGACGGACGTAACAGCCGGAACTTCCGCTGGAGTGGACGACGCAGGTAACGTGGGATTAGTTTCCGGCTCGGGGATGCTGGGGGCAGCAGTCACCGGCGGAATCCGGTAGGGTCCAGTCGACGGCAAGAGCCACCGAGGCGGCAAGACCACCGGGCCGGGCGAGAATATGGAACTCGATGGCACCGGGACTTCCACATTAGCCGGAGCTTCCACATCAGCCGGAAACTCCACCTCCACTTGCTCCTCGACTGCAGTCGCATCTTGCTCAACGACCGGAGTCTGAGCCTCCTCCTGAAATTCGGCAGCGGCCGGAGCCTGAATCTGCATCGGAGCTTGCACCACGGCATGCACCGGATGGCTCGCGGGATTGTCATCCGCGAGGAGATCACCTTCCTCGTCTTCCGGGGCACTGCTTTCTTCTTCGTCCACATTGTTTTCGGCCACTCCGGCACTTTCACCGCCAACACCGTCTTCCTCGTTTGCGATAGCCGCTTGCTCGTCGTTGTTGCCATTTTCTTCGTTCGCGATAGCCGCTTGCTCGTCGTTGTTGTCAGCTTCTTCTTCCACATCTTGTTCGGCTGCGGCTTCGACCGGTGGAGCGGGCTGCGCGGGGACTTCCTCGGCCGGGCGCGGAATCACGAAGTCGTCGCCGGACGACTCGGAATCAGAATAATTGACGCCGGCACGCGTAAATCTTCCACGCGCGTCTCTTCCCTGCCGGCCCCGTAAGCCAACACCGCGTCCGCGTTTCGGCGGCATCTCGATGTGT